CTGTCATGTGGTTCAAACCCAAGTGTGTCAAACTGCAGACCGGAGTCTCTGCTGAAGCCGACAACCACAACTTCACCTGCATTCTCACATGAACAGGTACAGAAGGTCCGCCTCCTTGGGCCGCTAGCTGAAGACGTGCCTCCCTCATCGTCCACCTTCATGGTGTAAAAGTGTCTTGATTTAAAGGTGCAGCGAATGTGAGATGAAAATAGAAGAGCTGCACGTGCAGGCAGAGCGACAGGTTGACCTTCTGGAGCGACGTCACTGTTGTCTGCTCAGTAGTTCAACACATGTAGGTCAAGACATTGTTTAAAAAAGCCCCAAACCATTTTTTCAAAGAACTTCATACTTGACTTTTCCCCAGAACTGTCACACAACCGATGATGATGTTGAAGACAAACAGTTCATCTCTATTTAATCTGATCTCATTTCCAACCTGAAACATGATTGAAGTCATAATGTTGAGCTTAAGATCGTCTTTACGAGCTTCACTTACAGACTCTTGATTATTTGTTTGCTGTAAATATTGTTTTTGCTCCACAGGACAGAACAAACAACTTATTCAAGCAGGTTTATGAACAGAAGAGCCTGAAGGGACGAGCCAACGATGCCATTGCGTCAGCCTGCCTCTACATCGCCTGCAGGCAGGAGGGCGTGCCGAGAACTTTTAAAGGTCTGGATACAGGATTTTATTTTCTCATCAGCTTTTGAGCTGTTTACCAAATTATTTTAGTTGAAAGTTTAGTTGAGGAATAATTGATTGAGGGCTGCAGGTGGATCAGTCGTTAGCATCGTCACAGGTTGGCGTCCCGGTGAGGACACCCGGGATCTTTCTGCGTGGAGTCTCCATGTTCTCCCTGTGCAGCATGGGTTCTCTCCGGGTCCTCCGGCTTCCTCCCACAGTCCACAAACATGCTGAGGTTAATTGGTGATTGTATATTGTCCGTAGGTGTGAATGTGAGTGTGCTTGGTTGTCTGTCTCTAAGTGTAGCCCTGTGATAGACTGGTTACCTGTCCAGGTGAACCTGCCTTCACCCTGAGTCAGCTGGGATAGACTCCAGCCTCCCTGTGACCCTAGTGAGGGTTAAGGTGTAGAGATGATGGATGGATATTACTTCCTAATATATAGTCCCTTTTAAAATACAGAATCATCCCTCAGATGTGAGGAAATCTGTATTAAATTCTACTTTGCTGATTTTTTGTAATCCTCCCAGTTTGCTTTTGTGGTTTTATGTGACAGGAGAAACAAAACAAATGACATGTCTTCATCTTCTCTGACGTTTTCAATAGAAGAGGCCCAGAAAGTGTTTTTCAGCGGGTTTAATGTGTGGTGTGTAGCTCGTCTCTATTAACAGTTACTGTCAGTTTCAAAGAAGAAGAGGAAGTGACTCGACCGATATAACTAACTAACTAACCTACAGCAGAGCGTCTTCTTCACTGAAACACATCTCATCATGACCCTCCATCTCCTTTCCCCTGACAGAGATCTGCGCCGTCTCCCGGATCTCAAAGAAGGAGATCGGCAGGTGCTTCAAGCTGATCCTGAAGGCGCTCGAGACCAGCGTGGACCTCATCACCACCGGGGACTTCATGTCCCGCTTCTGCTCCAACCTCGGCTTGCCCAAACAGGTCCAGATGGCAGCCACCTTCATCGCCAGGAAAGCAGTGGAGCTCGACCTGGTGCCCGGCAGGAGTCCCATCTCCGTGGCAGCGGCAGCCATCTACATGGCCTCCCAGGCCTCTGCAGAGAAGAAGACCCAGAAGGGTGAGTGATGATGTTCTGGTAGCGTTCACAGGCAGATGCTGTGTTGGGCTCAGACAGAGGAGGAAGAAGTGTTCAGACTGTTTAAGTACAAATACAGCAGCTTATTAAAGGAACAACCTCCAGACTGATCAACAGCTTCATGCCACCAGCTGTCAGGATGCTGAACTGCTGATCCACATGTTTATTTAAGTTGCTTTTAGTTGTTGGATCCTGAAGAAACGCTCTCATCCTGTTTGTATTACTGTGTATGTACAGCAAGCTGACGATAAACTGAATGTGATTATTAGTATTACTAGCAAAATGTAGTTTAAAAAAATGAGATCCAGATACTGGTCTGGTCCCTGTGACCGGTGTGTTATTCTGATGTTATGAGAGTGTGTCGTGTCAGGGCATCAGCAGCATGTCTGAACCACTTCACATCCACTTTTATATTCAGGGAAAGCAAATCCTGAGAACTTGTTTAAATGTATTTAATAAAAATCAAACCATGTGAGAAGTTCAGAGGGAACCTGTGGAGCTGTTATGTGTCACAGATATCTGACGTGACTACATGCCTCTGATTTACTCTTTAACGATGAAATAATCAAGTAAAGTACAAGCTGAGTAAATGCACCTCAGTCCTGATTCTCCAGCCCTGGGTTTCTATATCTGGTTTTACTTAAAGGCCCCGTGAGTGAATTCAAGCCATAGAAATGACACCGTTGTGAAAAAAAACATGAACAAGAGCAAATAGTTTTTCAGTCAGATGTTTCGTAAAAACGAGCCAGGACACGTAGACACGTCAGGTCAATACAGACGATCTGATTAGATTAAATATGCTTGAACTGAGTGCGTCTCAGACACCAGAAACCAAAGAAACATGTGTGTATGTGTTCTTCATCTTATAAGCTCGTTTCACTCCTTAAACGTGGATAAACAGGGTTTATTCGTTTAAATCTGCTGCTTGTTCAAACCCAAAGCGTTTTAAAGTTAGTAGGATGAAGACGCGTTTGCATGGTCTTCATCTGCAAAGTGTCTGAAGCCGTGAGATGCAGCAGAGTGTGAAGACGTACAGTCTGAGTGAACACCTGTGGTTCAGGGGAGTTAAAGGGAAACAAGCAATAATGAGCTAAAACCTCTCTTCAGCATCCACCACAGTGAATTCTGTCTGAACAAGATGGCAGGAACTCTAAGCTTCAGAAACCTATCCCCTACAGCAGGGATCTCCAACTCCTGTCCTGCAGGTTTTAGACGTTACTGCAACACACCTGACTCACATTAATGGATCTCCAACAGCTTGTCAAGTTCTACACAAGTCTGTTTGTGATCCATTCATGTGAGTCAGGTGTGTTGTAGTAACGTCTAAAACCTGCAGGACAGCATCTCAGGAGGACCGGAGCTGGAGATCTCTGCCCCACAGTTATTGTTTAAGACACAGAATTCAGATCTACTGCAGCTGAACCTTGTCTCCGATCCTTCCACAGAAATCGGAGACATCGCCGGCGTCGCGGACGTCACCATCAGACAGTCGTACCGTCTCATCTACCCACGCGCCGCAGAACTTTTCCCTCCAGACTTCAAATTCGACACACCTGTCGACAAACTGCCCCAACTGTGAAGACGGCTCCTCTCACGCAGTGCTGATATTTTTCTGCTGTACTTACGAGATTGTATTTTTCTTTTTTTTCTTTTTTTTTTTATCATGTTTGTGTTGGATTTGGAAGATTTCTCTTGTCCCGCCTGAGACTACAAGCCCTCGCCGAGGCACTCTGACAGGAATAAAGCGGACACACATTCCAGTGCATAAACAGCTTGCAGACTGTTCTTACAGTATTTCATTTGAGTGTATATACTGTACCATGTATATATGTCCAAGTGGGAAGACGTAATCGATGCTTGCAATTTTAGGCTGGTTTCATACTGTACACATAAAACCTTGTTTTTGTAGAAATAAAAAACGACCAGGTTATATTTTGTTAGTTTGTTTTGAACTGTTCTCAGTAATTTAAAAACAATAATAAAAGCTTTTCATGAAATCAGCTCATGATTTTGAGCATTAAGACGTTTGTAAAACCTGATTTAATAGTGGTGAATAAAAAGCAGGTCAAATCCACCTGAAGGACGTGTTTGCCGTTAAGAATAAAAGCAAAGCCACTATTACAAATGTTTAATTTGTGCATTCATGATAGGCAACAAAACAATGACTGCAAAAAAAATGCCTTTGATTATTTTTTTCTGTTTTTTTTTTTTACACCGGGATGAACAGCTGTGTGACGTGAGTAGTTGGTGTACCATCCTTTTTTTTTTTTCATCTGTTCTGGCAACAACATGCACAAGCAAAGAATAAAAAAAAAAAAAACTTTGTACAATCTATTTTCATCATTAAGAAACGTAGATAATTAAAAACTATTGATAAAATTAGTGCTTTCAGCTTAATTGTGTACATACAGTATGTATATATGTCATATACCCTGCCCTCCCCTGTAGTGATTCAACAGGTCTGAGTCAGTTTACACGGAACCGAGCCGGATCTGCTGGGAACCGGAACAACGTGGGAAGCGTTTAAAATGGCGCATTTTTGATGGAGACCTAAAATAACAGTGTACTACGCCCCTTCAATCTGTCGCTGGGCTCACTCTCAGTCCATCAAATTTCTCTTTAAAAAAACCCCACACAGATCCGTTTCTCTGCTGCTTCAAGAAGGACAGGATGAATTTGGTTTTGGTAGCAAGTCGTTTTAGTGTTTTCACTTTCACTGAGGTAACAAAACAAAAAGGTCAGGAAGAAAACTTAAAGAATGAAAAACATAAACCTGGCAGAAGAGTTCATGTAACGGTTTGATCTTGTAGCTCAAAAACCTCCAGCTATGAAGCCACGAGAGGGCATCACAGAGAAAATACTTGATGTCTTTTGGCCGACATGCTTTTTTTTTTTTTAATGAAGTTTCCAGATGAACGGTTCCTCGATCAGCAGCCTGGTCGGCGCACTGCTGTTTAGTGTTAAAAAAATGAGACATGAAAAGCTTCAGGTGAACAAAACGCTGCCGTAGACAAAGACCGGGCCTCTTGACCCAAAAGAAAACGTAGTGTGAAGACTTTTACTTTCAAGTTGGGAAGCAGCAGCAGTAGTAGTTGACCGTTCAGTGACGATGCTTTGAGCACTTTAACTTCACCGAACGCCGGTTGCAGAACCTTACACTGAGATAAACGTCCTTAAGCTACGGCGAGGGCTTTGCGAATAAAGACAGAAAACAATAAAATATAGGACTGAATATAATCTGTACACATCAAAAAAAAGAAGAAACGAAGACAGTGACACTGAATAACATGATTGTGATGTTGCCGTCTCCTCGGAGTTCATGTGAAGACATTCTCAGTGGTCAGACAACAAGACGCGACGACGACGAGTCCGAGCAGGAGGACTAACCCTAACCCTCCTTCACTCTCCAACAACACAAGTTCATTTGTTTTCTTTTTTTTAAAGGAAAAAAAAAAAAAAGTTCTTCATGTGGATTAAAAAAGAAGTTCCTCAGGAGGCGTCTGGACTTTCTTCTCAATGGCACAGAGGATGGATGGAGCTCGCTGCTCCTCCTCGACGTTTCAGGGCAGAGAAGAGTTTTTAAAAAGAAGAAGAGCTGCAGTCATTGCTGCGCTTGTTGGTTCACAGTGTGTGTGTGTGTGTTTGATTGTGTGTGTGTGTTCGGAGCGGGTCCAGGTGAAGCTAACACCAGTCAGCGATGTAATCGAAGTCAGAGAACATGTTCTGCTCGTCCGAGTTCAGCATTCGGGGTTCCCTGGGCGGGGTCAAGATCGGAGCCTCTGAGGTAAATTCATCGTCGAAGTTGCTGACGTCGTTGGCGCCCTGAATCGTCGGCACGAACGGCGGCTTCACCTTCTTGGCCAGCAGCCCGTTCCAGTCCATGTTCTGCCGAGAGACGCAGAGACACATGAGTGATCAGGTCTCCAACTGATAGAATCTTCAGTGCCAGTTTTGTTTTGGCTTCTTACCCTGAAGAACAGATGCTTCTTGACCTCCTCGGCGTCCCGTTCTCCTGCTCCCAGACGGCGCTCCGGGCTCCTCCTCAGAAGCTGAGCAGAAGAACGTAACGGTAAACAGATGATTATACACTCAGGAGGGAAACACAAGCAGAGTTTAAATGCTTTTTGGTCACATGAGGCTGGTTCCTCACCCTCCTCATGATGGAGATGGCCTCAGTGGAGAGGAACCGTGGATAGCGCACTTCGTCGTTGACAATGCTGTCAAACACCTCCTCCTCATCGTCACCGGGGAAGGGCGACTGAAAAGAGATGCACCGAAAAGAAAGAGCTGAAGGCTTGACAAACGCTGCTAAATAAAGCTCCTTTCATACATGATGTTGCTCATCTGGCAGCATCTGAACGCTTCGTGTCTGAATGAGCATCTCGGTCTCCTTCCTGCTAGAGGTCGACCTGGTAGGATCTCCACGTCACTTCTAACAAAGTATGAACTGATGAACGGGCACCTGGTGCACCAAACAACTGTCTCATGCACTTTGTTCTACATCCATTACAAACTGAAATAAAAACTTCACCGACTAACGCTTCAGATTAATGAGACTCATCGACAACTTGGGTTTAGCCAAAATGTTAAAGTTTAATTGATGTTTGTAGGAGTCTTTCCTCTGAACTAATTAAACAGCAGCAGCAGGATTCTAAGTATGTGGAACTCCCAACTAGTCAGTCAGAGCTAATGAAGCCTCTTGGATGAGAGGTAGAACGTCTTCAAGGAACTCAAGCAGGTCCAGTTGCTACGATTAATCTACCAGAATCTTTTATGGAGGACGAACATGAAGCAAACATTGAGACTCTATGTGAAGAACATCGAAGTAAAAGTGATCTCTGTCTAGAACGGCACCACGTTAACAGACTGATGAAGCAGCAGCGTATAAACAGCTTGTGAGTTTATACGGGACTATGATCAGTTACAAATCATTTCTGAGACTTTGCTGAACCGTGATCTCACCTCTCCAACCAGCATCTCAAAGATGAGGACGCCCAGCCCCCACCAGTCCACGGCGCGGGTGTACGACGTCTCCGTTAAAACCTCCGGAGCCAAAAACTCTGGTGTGCCACAGAAGGTGCTGGTGCGGTCCCTGAAGCCCATTCCTGGAAGCGACACAGCAGAGGCTTTTCAATAAAGTACTACTGCTCCGAAACAGATCACCACCCGACCTCCTGACCTTTAATCCACAATAACAGCTGACACACTGACAACATCTAGAGCCTTTCTAGGAGACTGAACATGTAGATAGAGAAAGGTCCACAGTCACAACTAAGCAGCGAACATTAAAATCGTGCCGTATGCAGATTCTTTAATCCCACAAGCTGCTGGTGCTCAAAAAACTGCAAAAGGACTGATTGCTTTCAACAACTAGAGTCTGAAGATTAAAAAAAATAAACAAAAAAATCATTTTACCTTCTTTGCAAAGCCCAAAATCTGCTATCTTTACATATCCCTCCGTGTCCAGGAGCAGATTATCCAGCTTCAAATCTCTGCAAATCACAGAACGAGAGAAAGGATTGTGTTCTGGGGATCTGGATGCTTCTAGGGAAAGAATAATTCTGACAGTTAAGATCTTTAAAACTATACCTGTACACAATCTTATGGTCATGTAGAAACTGTAATCCCAGCACGACACAGGCGGCATAGAATCTGCAAAGGTACAAAACGCACGGGTTCAATGAACAAGAGGATCACAGGAACAGAATACACCTCATGTGATCGCCTGGCATCCTAAATACTACACGTAAAGGAAACCTCTGACAGTTTACTCAGAAGTTCCTGAACTCATCAGTATGACAGTATTTCAACTTGTGGTGCAGTATTATCATTACGCTGCCCACAAACGGCCATTAAAAACACGCTTCGTCTGATTGAACGTGAACTGGTGACCAGATGAAGGTCACTCACACGGCCCTGGGCTCAGAGAACACGTCAGCGTGGATGTGCATCATCAGGTCGCCTCCCGCTGCGTACTCCATGACGAAACAAACGTGCTCCTGTGTCTGGAAACACGCAAACAGGTTCACCAGGAACGGGTGGCGGACGCTGTTCACCGTCTCAAAAATCCTCTTCTCACACATCAGGCTGGAGACGAGAGACGGAGAGAGAGAGAGAGTCGAAGCAGCAGTTACTCAGAGATAAAGAGCTCGAATGTAAAAAATAGATTTTCCATTTTCTTCAGCAGGTATTTTCTGGTGAGAGCAGCTTAAAGTGTTTACCTGTCGACCTCATCGCGAGCCACGATGTCTCCTTTCTTCAGAGCTTTGATGGCAAACATCTCTCCTGTGCTTTTGTATTCTGCTAACAGCACCTGCACAGAGGACGCAGAGGAGAAACACACCTCAGAGGAACCGAATACAAGCTTTCTGCCGGTTTTGTTGGACTGCAGCTGATCGAATACACAGCTGAGTTACTCCATAAACAGAACATGAGCCGGCAGCTGTTTTGATAAGTGACACTTGAAGCCAAAAGGGCAGAAAAAATCCTCACGGACGCCTTCTAACCAGGTCATCACCTCTTTGACCTGCTGCCCTCCGGTCGGCACTTCAGGTTTCTAAGCACCAGAACATCCCGGCACTGGAGCAGCTTCTTCCATTGGGCCTCATGAGCAGCCAGTAAACCACTACAGACTCCTGCCGACTACCTCTGAGCATCATTACTACATGTGCTATACTGTAATTTAAACTGTTTCCTCATTTATTACTTGGTTTATGTCTCTTTTCACTATCCTTTTTATTTCCGTAGTACTTTTACACTTTTCTTTTACATTTCTTACATCAAGATTCTATATTTGTTCCTGTCTTCTTATTGTTGTGTACCATCTCATTCACCACCACGACACATCCCTCGTGTGTGCCAGCTCACATGGCAATAAAAAAGCTGCTGATTCTTCTAAACTGTTGATCGTTGCCAGCTAATATGAGCAAATATGACAAAAACAGGAAAGACATCACTAGTTTCTAGCATCTATAAAAAAAAAAAGACAGACGAATCAGTGATGAAAGTAGCTGCAGCTCCACGTTGGACGATCACCTGACCTTTCCGAAGTGTCCACGTCCAAGCACCGCCACACACTTGAAGTCTTGGAGACTGAAGTGGAACTGCTCTTCTTCCCTAGAAAGTGTAAATCAATGCATTCAGTATAATTCAGTGCAGATCAAGCTGCAGAAAGTTTGTGTTCTGAACATAAGAGCAGCAGCAGCTACACCCAGAGCCACAGGCAGGGGGCAGTGTTCACACAAATGTGGAGCCTGCACTGGTTGCTCTCCTCAGGCAGCATGTCACAGCATGAGAATCAACAGACGTGAAACGATGTCAACAACTGGAACAATAAAGACGAACAGGGTGGCTGGTTGCCATAACCGTTATGTGGAGCCTCTCTGTGCCATGTTACGAACCCTTCATCATCCTCACAGGCTGGAAATCATCACCACAAAACAATGACCCAAACATGTTCCCTTTAAATAAAAGATTTTTTACTTAAACCACATCTTTTCCCTTTTTTAAAAAACTTGTTTTGTGAGCTTTTCTGGCACCTTATCTCGTCTTTCTGGATGGCGGTGAGCTCCAGGTCTGGATGCTGGATGTCCTGCTCCACCACGCCGTCCATGTCTGGCTTCATCGCTATGCTGTTCCTCTTGTTGAGGAAGTCGAACGAGGCGAGTGCGTCCTGTAGAGAGAAAACATAAGTGGATGGAAAGTGAAAGAATGAAAGAAGCATGGTGAAAAAATGAGGGAGACGTCAAGGAGGCAACCTGATGGGGTCTGGTCAACGAGAAATTAATGAATGTTTGATCATTTATCACTGGAAAATTTTGCTTTGCTCTTTAAATGGCACATTGTTCATCTGCAAGGACACGTTACTACTGGAGGAACTATTTTCTACATTCAATCATTAACCGAGGAGACTATTTAACCCTTATGCACCCTTTAATTCAACTACTTAGTGTAGAACAGTCCTACTGATGAACTAATATGTAAACGTATCATCCTCCAGTTAAATCAGTATTTCAACTGAACAAAGTGGTCACAAAATGTCATTTCCCATCAACTTTCCGTCTTGTTTGTTTCTCTTGTCTCGTCTGCCTGAGAAAAGCGTTTTAATCTTTACTGGGATTACACGTTGTTTGAAACTGAGCCTGTGGCGTCCATTTGTGTGAACACAGAGTTCAGCTGCTGCATCTGTGCTCGCATCACTTCGTCTGCGCCTGACCAACAACACTAGCATTTCTTGAACACTCCCGTACCTGTACTTCCTCTTTGTCGGGCATCTTGTGCTGCACCAGCGGCTCTCGGATGTCGTCAGGTGCTGGGTAGTGTTTGGGTCCTGGTGTTGGTTCTTTGTCAAAGTCCAGCTTGGTCACCAGCGGGTCGCTGTGAGTGGACACAAGCACAGCTCAGTGCCGTATTCAGCAGCAGCAGCTACGTGGTCGCTAGTAACTATTTCTGTTGAACAATTTGTCATCCTGTTAGCTTTATCGTTCATGCATGTGTGTTTGTGTACCTGCTGGGTGTGGGCGAACCCGGCAGGCTGCTGGGCCCGGTCTCAGCTGCCTGTGGGCTGAAGGAGTTGGTGCTGACGGTCGGTATGGCTCTTCTCACCAGACGGCCCCAGGTGGCGATGTTGATGTTCATCTGAGGGGCTCGCAGGAAAGTCTTACCTGCTCAAGACAAAGGAAGACAAAATCAAGAATGGGCACAACGGTGGGACACAACAGGAGGGACACACAAACAAACAAACATCCATCCACTTTCTTCCACAGGGGTAGCTGGTCATTCCAGACTTCCCGGCGACGCTTTCCAGCTCTTCCTGGGGGATCCCGAGGTGTTCCCAGGCCAGCCGAGAGATATGATCCCTCCAGCAGGTTCTGAGTCTGCCCCGGGGTCTCCTCCCAGGTGGACGTGTTCAGAAAACCTCCAGAGGAAGCCTCCCCGGAAGCATCCGAATCAGGTGTCCATACCACCTCAGCGGCTCTCCTCCGGGCTCCCTCCGGATGTCCGAGCTCCTCACCGTATCTCTAAGGCTGAGCCCAGCCACCCTGCGGAGGAAGCTCATTTCGGCCGCTTGTATCCGCGATCTTGTTCTTTCGGTCACGACCCAAAGCTTGTGACCATAGGTGTGGGTGCGGGACGCCGGTCTGGTACAGCGCCTGCATTGCTGCTGACGCCGCACCGAGTCGCCTTTCTACCTCGCGCTCCAGTTTCCCATCACTCGTGACCAAGATCCTGAGATACTTAAACTCTCTCGCTTACCTGACAAACAACACAACAGAATCTCTCTCTTATGTTTTCAGGGATCTAGCTACGGATTTCCGACAATTGCCTTTATCAAATCCTAGAACACTGGACGTTAATACGACTGGACACACCATCCAGACTCGTTTAAATGAATACAGATTTCCATCACTGTGCACCTTATACAAGTGTTAAGCTGTGCAGCGGCTCACCTTGCTGTTTGGAGAAAATCTTCTTTTGTCTTTGAAGCTTTGGTCGTCTCTCAATGACAGGGTTGAAAAATGTTACCTACGGAAACGTCATGACGGAAAAATTTAGAAGAGAACGGTAAAAAAAATGAATGCAATGTGCCAGAATGTGTCCAAACATCCTTAGATGTATTGTCATCAGACTAAAAACGTGTATCGCACAGCTGAAATGACATGAGCTCAAACTAATACAGTTCAAAATAAAATAAGCCTTTATTAATCCCACAGTGGGGAAATTTTAAGTGATACAGCAGCAAAGGTGCAATGTCGTACAAAAATACAAATAAACCAAAATATTAGACGTGCACGATATATCGGCGACCACGTCGGTACCGGCCGATAACAGTGATGTTTCCCATATATCGGTATTGGTCCGATGAACACATTTAGCCGATGATTGTCTGACATCAGCGCCTTCGTCTCTATGTTTGATATCGCTGCTGCTTCACAGATGATTTTACTTAAATGGACTTAAATATGTTTAAATATGTTTTACTTTTGTACTAAAGAAGACTATGTGGTCTGATCTGGGCTTCTTCTGAATAGTTTTCACTTATACTAATTTTTCAGTGTGAAAAAAAATTGAATATCGACATCGGTGATATCGGTTATTGGCAATATCAGAAATCTGAATATCGATATCGGCCAGAACTTTTAATATCGTGCATCACTACTAAATGTACACAAGTACTACTTATAGAAATATCAGTGTTGCACATATCAGTGGTAATGCATGGATTCTTTGTGTAGAGAGACATGTTAATATTTTACAGATCATTATCTATACAGCACAGATTGTACGCTACAGTTTGTTTACATTTTCATTTCACTGCATTCAAGAATATCCGTCTACTGCAGGCCGTGTGCTGCTCCAATGTGACCCGTCAATGTGCTGTACTACTAACAGATGCTGCTTAAGAATAAAACACTCAACAGCCTTTTATAGAATAGTGTGTTTGTGTGTGTACCTCAGCAAACAGCATTCCCTGTGGCTCCAGGTACAGACACATTCCATGACGCTGGTTGTCCAGGAAGTCCTCCAGCCGCAGGAACTTGACGGCGCAGAGCGAACGCCAGTCACGCCAGTACACGGAGATCTCCAGCTCACGGGACTGCAGCACAGAGCAACACAAACACATCAGCAGCAGCAGCAGCAGCATACAGATGTGAAGCTCACTGTGTTGCATAAACACAACACTGGGTCTGCAGCACATGGGTAGTTCAAAGGGAGAACCGTGTGTGTATGTTACCCGGTCCAGCTCCAATGTAAACTTCTGGTCCCAGGCCTGGTTGCTGACCGGCCTCCAGCTCGTCTGTCCAACTACTGTGTTGTCCAGCTTCAACACTGCACTGATCTCATCTGGGGAAAAGCACTGAGTTATTAGTGTTGCTTGATTGAATCTAGTTGGTGTTAAAGACAAGGTTGTCTCATTAATCGCCGTTACAGATGTGACAGAAAGTCTTCAGTCTGTTCTGGGTTAGGAGATTAGCCGCACTCACTGGTGACCTCCTCGCTCTTCGTCAGGTTCCTTGAGCTCACGCCGCGGTTTCGGTTTGCTCGGCTGATGAAGGACGAGCGCGTCTCGCTGGGGCTCCAGCCAGGCAGCGGGACAGACGCCGCTTTGGAGCGACCGGGGACGTTTTCCAGGAGGTCCTGACAGCCCATGAGCCTGACGTCTAACGTGCCTGGAGGCAATCAGGGAACAACACACATTACAGACGCTGTCCTGGCCGAGGCTTCGCTCGGTTAGTCGAGCAGCATGGTAGTTAAATATACTTGAAGGTACTTGAGGTGACCACTGACACAAAGCACTTGTTGGATGAGTCAGGCCAGGCCCTGCTGCTAGCCTGGTCTTACTCAGGCTGGACAAAGGCACAGTTACAAAGACTGACTCATTTCAGGTGGAGCTGTGTTTCCATAGCAACGATGAATGGCATCTGCTGACGAAAGAGAACCCATTGATTTTCTTGAATATATTTGGTCGCAACTGCGTGATTTGCTGCAAAGGCACCGGTGTGATGTGCAAGAAAGAATATTTTATTGCTGTGGACTAATGAAGGAATAGCAGCTGTTGAAAGCTGGCAGAGTTCTGTTGGACTTGGAGTACCTTACATGTGTACTACTTTCAAAAACAGACCAGTTCTATAAAACGTGGGGACTGTTTCAACCGAGTGGAGCCTTGAATGTTCTTACTGCACATAATCACTGTAACCGCTAGTGTGTTGTGTAGGACTCTGAGCTGGAGCCACATGTTTCTGGTTTGTTTTTACTGTTAACGTTTTCTTCTCCCTCTCCCATCACATACTGACTGCACCAACTGCACTGCTAAACAGTTTATATGTGCAATATTTTAACCAACCCAGTGCAATATCACAGTCTACCTCGCTGTTACACAAATATTTAGTGCTAAACACAACTAGCTGTGGCTTTTCTACTCTGTTATATATATTTTTTTAACCACACTCTATTGCTGTATTTTACTTATATTTTGCTCTTGTTTTATTGTACTTAGGCTTTTTCTTTTAAAAAAACGGGACCTGAGTACTACTTTCATACCAAAAACATGTGAATGTGAGCTGGCACGACAAATAAAGTTCCTTGAATCCTTGAACTTCATCTACAACTTGCTGTAAACGAGCAAATCAATTAATGTAGTATTAAAAAAAAATGCATGGGAGGGGAAAGGAACAAGCCTGAATTATAGGTTTTAATTTAAATTTACAGGAATAATAATTCACATTTTAGAAATATTACACTGGCATGGCAAAAACAGACTAGCACGCACCTCACATATGAATTCTGAAAAAAGAACCCCATCAATTAACGAATACTCAAAATAACATAAAACTATATACCATGCCACACTGGTTGTTGAGCTGTGATAGCAAACTACTGTTACCTAAGTTATTTAGTCAACCATTTTAGCAAAATACAGCCACGCTTCTTTGTGATCGACTCGTAAACGTTCAGGAAATAAGCTGCAACCAGCAGCATCCATTAAGTTGGATGAGTTCAAATTTGAGAAAATGGGGTCACAGGCAGTCTGAGGACAAAAATGATGAATTAATCCTGGAAGGCTAATAACATAGTGCCTTTCCTCATTATGAAAGCAGCACAGGCGATTGTCCAACCACATGCTCATTAGGCGGACCATCAATGTGAAAGCGTATTGACCGACCAATCAACCTGGAGACCACAGCGCTCGCTCACAGGTGGCATCTTCCAATATCCGCATGTGGAATTTAATTGTTATTTCTTAATGATTAGAAACAATAGAATGTCAGCGGGGTGTCAGAAACGTCCGTTGAGCTACCTGTGAGCGCTGCAGGCTTGGTCACGGTGCTGTACTGGTTCTGTGTGGAGATGATGCTCGATCTGGGGCTGAGGGCCGGCGAGGACAGCAGGGACAGCTCCTCTATGATGCTGATGCTGCGAGGGTGGTTTTTAGGCAACTCATTCAGGCGCTGCTCCAAAGAGTATCGCAGGAGGTCGAGCTTCTGACTGGACTCATTGAAACGAGCCTGGGCCTGAGGAAGGGACAGCAGGTAAGAGGGCAGCAGAGGAAGAGGAGGCGGGGAAATGAGTCGGAGAGGGACAGATAGACAGAGGAACATCAATTACATGGTCTATTTTCCTTTAGTAAAGCGCAGCAGCAGCGGTGGCGGCTGCGCGGGGATCAATTTGAACTCTATGAGACTCCATTAGCTTTAACGCGATGAGAATCTTGTTTTGGCTCGTTTCAAATCACGGCTGAAAATGAAGCGGGCAGAAAAAGTCAATTTTACACGAACGCGGCATCCGTCTACCTCTGAGTGCGCTCTCTTTTCCGTGACTTTCCCCGTGCCCAGGAGCTTCATGACGTTCTTGGCTCCCTCGGCCACCGCCGACTCGATCTTGGCGTGGTGACACAGCTCCTCCACCCGCAGGTCCAAAGGGCTGATGATGGGCTTGTCTGGAGGAAGGAGATTACTCTTTATTCTGTTTGTCTTTCTGCTTTAATCCAGTGGAGGTGTTTCTCCTTACCCATTACATCATTGCTCTCGAAGCTCAGCTCGCTGGTCTGGCTGGCTTTGAGGATCTGCATCCTGATGAACTCGATCTTCGTCTTGCTGTCCTGAAGCATCTGCTGGGCAGTCGCTAGTAACTTACGATCCTATGGGGGGGACAAATAAGAAACACCCACAGCTTAATGGGAGCACTTTCCCCTGCATAAATTAACGACTGAATCAAAGGTTTAATATTATTTGCTTTCTAAATAAAAGGCCTTGAGGTGACTGTGAATGCACGTTGCCCCTCATTGTGGTCGGTTGTTATGAGCGTGTAACACAAACACCCGAGTTCATGCCCTTAATTGGAGATAAAGCACACATGGAAAATCTTATTCACCCAAAAAGAAAGTGGAATCTCATTGTATGCTGTGTTTGCTGAACTTCTCGTACGTACACACATACACACACAAACACAGTGAAGTAAGCAAACTCCACCCCGAATTCCTGTGAAGTTTAAATCCTGGCTGTTGATGGCGGCTCGCGCAGGAAAGACCTCTGTCCAGCAGGCATTTCCTCTCTGACATCAGGACAGGACTATTTCCAACTGGAAGGTGCCTCTGTCTGTCTGACCAGGGAGGTCGCTTACAAAACGCCGTGACCCCCTCCGGTCAGTCAGACAGACAGGCTCTTCTTTAACGTGTTACACAGTGAGGTTCTGGAAGTAGCTTCAGATTTGAAAACAAAAACAAAACGTCAGACTGAACAGACACACATCTGGCCTTATTTAGACATCCTGAAACATAATTCTGATGTCTAGATGTCATCAGAAAAGTGTTAAACCTGGACACACATCAGCATAAACTCCATGACCTGACATTTTCAAATCTGGTATCAAAACATGCCTTTTTAAATCTTGATGAGAATTTTATACCTTTTACTGTTTTGCTTGTTTTTTATCATGTGCTTGTTTTTGTTTTTTTTAACCATGCGTTGTGAGGCATCTGCGAGTCCTTTGTTGGAAGGCATTGCTGTTTAAGCTGGTGTGTAGCCAGACTTAGAAAATGCATGTTATTTTAAAGCAATTAATTTCATTCTCAGAAAACCAAAGAAATCAGATTTTTTAAACAGAGGTCATATGTGCAGATTTAACACCACATCAAGGCCACACGTTTACACGTAGCCAGTATTCACGAAGACGGATCTACGTTTTCCAAAATAATACGTTCACACCAGATTGTTTTCAAAAAAATCTTTGTTTACACAAACACGTCGTTAAGAGCTGCTATGAGCTGCCAGACCTATAGGGGGGAGTGTAACGAGAAGCATAAAGCCATGCTAGCCAATCAGAATCCCGGAAAAAACACAATTTCTGTTACTTCAACGATAACGGGCCGAGGGTTGTTTGTTTGGACGGACAGAGAGGTGGAGCTGCTTGCAAACATAGAGACGGAGTTTTTCCAGATCTCCACTGTGGCTGGAGTTTTCAGATCTGATGGTTTTTGGTGACTCGTAGCTTAGTTTACGTGTGAACCAAAGGCCCGTTGAGATATCACTGTTACGTGTAAACAGGGCCCAAATCTCAACACCTCAGTTTTTGTACAATAAAAAAAGAAGAAGAAAAAAGCTTGAATGTGCTATTTTGGTGGCCAGATTTAACCACTTTTAGAAGCTGTTGTTCTCTGTTTTCACTCTTTATACCAAGCTACATGTTCTGCAGTGTAGCTCAGACATGACAGCAGCATCAGTGTTCTCAACTCCTGGCCAAAAAGCCAAAAAGCGCACTTGTCAAAATGTTGGACTGTTCCTTTAAAAGGATTTTGAAGGGATTGAGAATTTAATCAATCAATCTGCATTAAATCACAGCTGATACATTCACAGACACATAATAAAATGCAGAATTATGTCACTGGCTAAGCAGAGACGACACTGGCTGAAACCTTACACTGCACCAAACCGCCGACTACAAAGTGGTTTCAATTACTACTGACGGACACGAGAGCCGAGACGAACATGAGAGGCTCTCAGTGCTGTTATTACCAGTCCTGGTGACTTACACACACCTCCCAACTAAATTATAGTTTTTGCTCACTGGGAGCATTAGAGGAGACGCGAGGACCGTAAGAGCTTTGTGAACAAACAGCAGCAGCAGCAGCGTATGACACAGAGAATGTGTCAGCGCCTTCTCATGTTTCCTCCTCCCCTGCAGAGAAGCTGTAAAAGCAAACCTGCTATGTTGCAGGCTGGTGTTCAAACTGGGAATGAGCCCGCCCGCTTCAGTTTTCATGTGATTATGGTCACCTTTCTGCAAAGACTCTACCTTAAGCGGTCTAGACGTTGTGTGAAGTCTGGAGTCCTTTACAACCTGTAGGACAACTGCGGCGCTTCGGACAACGACGAACTCGCAAGACTCATTGCTAGCTTGTGATAAACGTTTATTATCTAATTTGTATTAAAAGATGTGCTTGGTCAAAGATTTCCCGTAGTGGCTGATGAAGTAAGCTCAGAGAGCACGGTGGGGAGACATGCTGAAGGCCATGTGAGACACCTGTGAGCTGTTAGAAAACATCTGGATCCTCTGTCCTGTGATGCCAATTAAAAAGTCTTAAAGATGATAAAAGAAAAATGAGACGAAGGTGACTCAATTATTCAAACTACTCTCTGGCTCCTGTGTTAGAGTCAAAAAGGTCACTTGAGGATGATTCTGAATTACAACTTTCGTCCTGTTTTTGTAGTTTTAATTTCTATTCATTCCAAAAAAAAAAAGTTCTCATTAAAACAATACCTGGGACGTACAAAGATAATATCCTCAGAGGGTCTGGTGGGGGAAGAAACACAAGCAGCCAGACATTCAAGACAGAAAAATCTATTCCAATGATCTAAACCACCTTATTTGGAGGTAAAATTTAAACCAAGAACAGCCAAAAGCTCCGTGACCATCACTCACTGCACAGGAAGGTAAGTGAATATGACAGCAGGTCAACGCTGGAGCAGGAAGTCGGTTTGTAAACTGTGGCTGCTGGTTAGTGGTGGGACGGTGGGACGGTGGAAAGGTGGCGAACATCTGCTTCAATACAGGCAGCTCATGAGCAGATCAGATTCTCTACGAACAAAATGCAACCAGTAGAGGAGACGCTCTGGTGAACTTTTTTTGAAAGCCTTCAGATCCATTTGCACCCGGGTTCAGCTGCAAAAATGTTCCATCTGCTGGGTGTTGTTGTTTACTGGTCCCACCAAGGAGCTGGTTCAAGCCGTCACAAGCAGCACATGCCGTTTTGTGTGTCTGATTGAAATGCCCGTGCGGCTCAACCCGGCACTCTTTCAGTTGGACCGGACCGCACCCTGTGACTGTTAGCTGTGGCTGGAGTGAATGCACAGTGACGCTAGTGTGTGTAGTAAATGTGCCATTCGCCAACATTTTCTTTCCTAATTAATTCTGGTTAGCCGCAGCAGATCACTCTAGCAAGTACAATGTTATGTTTCCCCCAATAGGAAAGATGACCAGAAACTCCCCGAGAAGGCTCCAGCTGTGTGAAACCTGATCCGTCTTCTTAAGAAAAGCCCAACTGATGTGTCTGATTTTCCAAACTTGGCAGCCTGACATGAAGCAGCAAAAACCTGAATGTCAGGTGAACCCTCCCCCTCTCCGGTGCCTACCTTGGAGGACCCGTTGGAGTACATCTGAATCATGTTCTCGGCGCCCTGTTTGACCTTAAGCTCAATGTCGTTCTGCCGTTTCAGGGCGGCCAGGCGGCTGCTGCTGGTGCACATTCTCGCCTCGCTGTTCGGGGTATCTGGGGTCAGAGGGCATTCTGGGTGAAGACAACAACAACAAAAAAAAGACAGACAGGTTAGCATCTCACGGCCTTTTGGAAACAACTGCAGACATACGACTTCATATACTATAAATATGAACGGAGCATACGTGAGCTATATTTGGCAGTCGGCCATTTTGAAGTGAGATAAACAGTCGTGCAGCTCTGCAGGGTGACATATAACCGTGCTTACAAAAACACGTCAGGTAGCCGGTTCAGCTGACAGATAATGTACCAAGAAATGTCTGCTCGTTATACTTTGGTGTGGTCTGTTAACACGAGACTCTAAAAAGAACGACAGAAGATAACAACAGTAAGAAACCCAGATGGACAAAAGGTGTCACAGTCAGACTTCTCAACATCACCGTAAAGAAAACAGAGAAAAAAGAAAAGTGTGATTATTCACAACTAATCAAACGTGAACTCAGAGGTTTAGTTTGATGCTCTGACAGTCAGGAGCCGTAACACAAAGGCAATTCAAAGGAGGAGTCATCTCACTGGTTCTTTACTGCTCCAGCCCGGGGTAAGCCCCGCGGCCATCTCTATTCTAGGCCATTCAGAAAAAAGGAAACAAGTGTGAACATGCAGACAATTACCAATACTACAGTGTCATTACTGTAAACGCACAAGCAAAGTAAACCTGAAGAGAACGTGGATTTTAAACACAGCACAATGACGTCTGTACGCATGCAGGCATTAAATCGACACATAAACCACACAACGATACGCACACAGACACCCAAAGTGAAACCTAAACCAACTCAGAGCCGGACCAGAGTTCTGGGGGATAAGCTTTGTGTTTTGTTGTGTTTTTTTCGGTCGTGTCTGGACTCGACGTGTGCAGAGAAAATCCCTCCCCAAAGTAATCACACCAGCGCAGAGCAAAACATTCACACACACACACACACACACACACACACACACAAAAAAAGGTGAGGTGGGCAAAAAAACCTGCCCGACTTCTCCTGACTTGACTTGCAAGTTCAGTTTCAGAGTCTATGTTGTCATTAAGTCTCTGAAAGGACGCAGAGAGTAAACGGTGAGTGAGCACCAACATGCGGAAACATAAACAACCCACAAGTGTCACAAGGAGTTTCTACATGTATGTACGCTAACGTCTCTGAGCTCAGTTCTTTTCTTTTGGATTTGAAGTCCACAGGCAAAACACCGGTCACATGATTGAACAAACACCTGCCTTGAGGTGTCTTGAGTCCATCTGCATGAGCCTGACAGGCTTTACCAGAACATACCAGGGCAAAGACCATCAGTTGCACCGTGAGACACCGCCAGATACAGATAACAATAACCAGCAGGCGGGTCTGTGATTCATTCACTCCGCATGTTTCATCAAAACACTGTCTAATGATTCCTTTGAACACCTGCGGGACGCAGGCAAAAAGGAAGCATGTGACTCTTTGAACCGAAACTGATTCATCTAATGACCCTGATAATAAACTGAGAGAGTTGAGGTTTCTGTTAACGGGCGGAGGGGAGGCCATGCTGGTCCTCCCGGGGCTGCCCTCTCCTACACAGAGACACCGAGAGGGGCAGGGCGAGACGGGAAGAAACTGAGTGGGCACGTATCTGCAGAACAGCCTGTGGAGCCAGTTAAGAATTCACCAGGGGCTCGGGGCAAAACTGATTTCTTAGTTTAGAAAATTGCATAATGGCAGAGCCTGGGTGAGTATGTTCAGATCGGGTTGCGTCAGAGTCTAATCTATGAGAGTGACACACTCAGGAACACACGTGCAGAAGCGCTGCGTGTCATCACGTCTACGTTTGGGGCTTTCCTCTCCGTGTGGGAGTGCGGTTTTGTGGAGATCACGTTAAGCCAAGAATTCAAGGACCCCCACCCTTGCCCCCCCTCCTCAGCGAGGTTCAGCCCACGCTGGGCTGCAGGACAAGACACTGAGCTACCGAATAGCTGTGAGGCTGATGTCACCGCTGGACAACTGACAAGGGGAACCCTCCCTCAGACTAACCTCATCTGTATCTGGTGAGAAGGCAACGAGGAACGTGCTCACAACGCTCCCTGAACTATTACTTCACAGTTGGGAGACCTGGACCTAAAAGCAGTTCCCACTTGAGACTGGGACTGGACAAGTGCTGATCTTAGGGCAAGTCTCTTTATGAATGAGCTCATATGAGACAGAGGGACCTGACTGGTGACCCTGCGTCAGAGCTGCTGGTCCCAGACAGCGCCTGAGAGCCAGTCAGTCCATTTCTGGCCTCGGCCGAGTGGCGGAGAATAACCAGAGCCCCCTAAACTTTCTCCTGGAACAAAAACACATTCTGGCTGCTCGCAGAGGCAGAGCAACTCCTTCCTACTAATTCAGGAAACAAGTGCTGTCTCTCGCGGATTCGTGAGCTGAACATATTTCAAGAAGCTGCCTCTTGTCTGAGAGGCTCAGCTGCATTCAGTCCCTCTCCATCATTTTTGCGATGGCCAGCGACATTCCTCTGGCATTGCGTCACTTCAAAAGAAAGCCCTTGTTCACCAGATAGAAGGTCGCAGAGTCAGGCTAAATTTGTTTCCACTTAAGATAACCATTTACCAAGACAGACTCCCTTTCCTCCTGCAGCACACAAACACACCCCTCCTCATCTACTTCCTAATGTCAATTGAACCAGGGGAATGCGACGGCAGCGAGCAAATACCATTCCTTCTCTTCCTGCAATCTCCCGGACACTCGCCACCAGCAGCTACTACATAAGGCGACTGCTGTAACAAAGCCAAAGTGAACGCACACAGCTGTTGTGGTAAACTCTCCAAATTCCATTGTGGTCGACAAACGCACAGGAGCAGCTTTCAACAGCCTCGGAGGGGAACAATCGGCAGCTCATTGTGACTGTCGCTGGAATGTGGAGCGCAACAATGTCGGCCTCTGGAGAGTGAGTCACCTCCAAGCGCTCAGTGTGCTCACTGTGTGTTTGCACATGTAAGAGTTTATATAGGTGTTGTTCTGACACGACGCTGCCAGAGGGATTTACTCAGCGATACTCTGCATTTACAATAAACCACTCGCTAGCCAACAGACTGCTACAGGCCAGGGGTGGGCGATGCTGCAAAACTTGGTATCGATACCAAGTAAATACAGAACTGGTGTTGCCGGTACCGATAGTTTTCACTTACACAAGCAGCTCATCTACAACAATGCGTCATCATTTATTAAGTGAATGCACCATCCAAATTTAAACCCATCCACCATCTCTACACCTTAATCCTCACCAGGGTCGTGGGGGCGGAGCCTATCCCAGCTGACTCATGGTGAAGGCAGGTTCACCTGGACAGGTAACCAGTCTATCACAGGGCTACACTTAGAGACAGACAACCAAGCACACTCACATTCACACCTAGCGGCTCCGGTAGACATGCCAACTTTCTGTTACATTCATTTTGACTGTCTATCAGTGGGAATCCCCTCATGTGAACACGCGATTCAGTCATGAGATAAATTATGCAAATTGTAATTCTAACAATAATAATAACAATAACTGCATACAGGGTTCTCTCCAGCGTCACAACAGAGTAACGGCCTGCTACGCTGCAAATTGGGACGACACTTTTTGTCTGAGGGCAAACATTTAGCGGAAAAATATTTAACAATGAGCGCTGATGGAGTTTCACTACCGTCGTCTTCGCTGCTAACGCTGCTATTCACTAGCAGAGTAGTGAACGAGAGACGTGACAAGACGAGAGGAGAGATGTGAGCGAGAAATGAGAAGTAAGCGAAAGAAAAGAAGTGAACGTGAGGAGAGAAGTGAGGAGAGGAGCGGTGTTTGCACAACCACTATGTCACAGTTGTTGAATATTGAGAAGAGAAACTAAAAACTTAACTATCGATTCCATCACATAAGTATTGATCTGATACCAATAGCAATGTGGTATCGATACCAGGGCTGGGCCATATCGTACCGTGCACGGTAACACCGGTGTAATGTTAGGGGATGATATGAAATTGAAATATCGCAATAAAATTTGAGTGTAACGTGGTCCGGTCTAATGCACATGGAGTGAGAACATGGCGGTGACCGAGGAGGAGGATGAATGCATCGACCGACGCAGGAGAGCTGGACCTGGATATCGGAATATTCAGTCGTTGTGGTGGAGTCTGAATAGCAATTTTACCATTAGCAGCCAAGTCCTGCCTGTGCATCCCGCCCACTTCCACCCCGTCAGTCCGAATATTCGCCCGCCGCGATACATACACCCCCTAGCTGACGTGGTGGTGAGACCAAAGAAACTGGCTGCAAAGTTTTATGTTGCAAAGCAGCTCTACCATACTTTTGTGAATACTTTTCATTGTTCTGCTCAGGATCTGCAGCCCATTTCCATTTTGATTAAACAAATTGTCAGCAAGCTATTTCAACTTATGCACAATTGATTTTGGTACAGTACAGCTTTAATGCACATCAAGAACAGCTGCTTGCTAAATGGAAAAGAAGTTGTTCTTTATTTTCTATTTGCACCAATAAAGTTGTGCAGTTTTGAAGTACTTTGTCTATCATCAGTTATATCGTCGTTATTGCAAATTTTCTCATTTTTATCGTGATAAACATTTTTGGCAATATCTCTCTGCCCTAATCGATACTACCGATAATTTGGATCGATCCGTCCACCACTACTACAGACCTGGTAACTGGAGGACCAGCTGATTGTCTACTGTGACACATCTGAGAAATCCCAGATAAACTTCAAGCTCAGAGTGAATCGCTCTCGAAAATACTCTTGGTTCCAAAAGAAAGCTGTTACACGAACATGGCTGCAGGTCGAGCCTTCCCCGAGGATGACTGGACTACCAGTATTAACCTGAATAGAGACGCTGACCTTTATATGTAAACAAGACTGCTCTTTCCTGTACTATGATGCCAACGTAAATCCATTTATTATACGTCCAATGTGGGCTGCAGCTACAGGATATTTCCACCACTACCTGATCGGTTGATTAACTTATTAATTACTTGATATTAAAAACAGAAAAAAATAATTGCTTTTCTGTCCAACCACTCAAAGAAAAGCAGTTTTCCTAACTTTGAGGATGAAATTTTCAGGTATTTTTTCTTGAAATCTTGCCTACATTATTAATCTAAACACCCGATCAATTACATGATAAGTCTTTTCATCTCTACTATCGATATGTAAGCAACTTGAGGATTCAATATTCAGCGTTTTTCCAATTATCAGCACTGTGATGTGATTTTAAAGAGGGGCTACTCTGGCTTTTTTGCAGCCACATCTCTCCATCTGTAGTCACTTAGTGGCAAAGTCTATTAATGCTTAAAGATAAATGTTGAAAAGCTCTCTTTCAATCAAACATAAATTAATAAATTCTGTGTTGGAGTTTGCCGTTAAGAAACCGTATCGATGGACCCGACGTGCCCAAACACAGACAGAAGAGCGGAGGCTAGAGGACGGAGCTACAGCAGCGGGGCATTAGGTACAACACAGGATCGGTTTATGTCAGCTCGTTCCTGCTTTACTGATCTTTACTACATCTGGAGTGTTTCTGAAGTTACCTAGCAGTTCTTCAGGGTCTTTGACCACGATGTGAGCATTGAGTTCCTGTAGCTCCTGGTGAAGCTCCTCAACCTTCTTGTTAGACTTTTTTAGCATGTTGTCCACATAAGCCAGGCTCTTCTTGTCTGTGGTGACCTGAGGGAAGACAAATTTGACTATTAAGATTTAAAGGGAAACGCCACAGAGTTTATTAATGATGAGGAGAACTATAGAGCCAATGAAAACATCTCCACAGTGTCTTTGTCGATGCGACAGGCGGGCTGGAACTCCTTTTGCTAACGATGGCTACGGCTATCAGTAGGAGGTTTTCCTTGGCTCTTAGCCTGCAGCTAACGCTATCTGGAGCACCGTAACATCTTTGTGAAGTAAGATTTAACACTTTGCTCTAACTGACAGACACGTCTCTCTAGAAGACTGAACGAGAATCACAGCCAACCGTGTAAACCAGGACGTTAGCTGCATTCACAGTGGCTCAGGCTACGCTAACAGCTAGCGGCTAAGTTAGGAGGCGGCCACAGACTACCGTAAAACACTTTCTGGAAAACAATAAGAAGCAATGCTTTAAGATCTGAGCCTCGGTGGGCATTAAATGTGATAGAAGAGAAAAAGATGAACAAAACAGAGAAGAAGAAGTAACAGTAATCCTTATTACTAAAGTAATCTAGGCTTGAATGACAGGTTCCTGCTTATCACATGCTGTTAGTTTTAATGTATGTGGTTCCAAATATTGGTTATCAGCCTTCTTTGATTACCCATAATCAACATCAGTCATAAAAACAAAACATGTTGGTTGATCCCGAACTTTGATCCATCCTGGTCTCCTTCTAAGTAACTCAACCGTATGGAAATCAATACGTCACTGCTTGAGTAAACCAAATCTGTGACATTACCTTACGCAGGTTCTCTGCACCTTCTTTGATCTTCAGCTCCTTGCGGATCTCGCGGCGAATCTGTTCCTTGATCTCGTCCAGTTTCTGTTGAACCATTGTGTCAGACAGGTCCAGGTTGTGTCCCAGGCCGAGTCGCTCCGCCACCATTTGGCCCCTGGCATCCCCCTGGAGGAGAAAACAGGAGGAGGAGGGAAAAGAGGTGATAAGGGAAAGATGTGGAATGTGATTTAAGAGGAGATTTAATTTAAGGGAGGAGAAGGAGGAGAAAAAAAAGAGGAAAATGGGATGGTAGAAAAAAAAAAGAGGAGAAGGTAGAGAGAGGTCAGCGACGTACGAAACAAATCAGCTGTGCACGGTGGCATTTTGGAGTTAAACCAATTGATTGGTTAAGGAGGGAGCAAAAAACAACAGAATCTTTAGCCTCATAACACGCAAGTACAGTTGTGACTCGATAATCCAACACTAGATGTAAAACCTTCTTCTATGTCGGATAGCAAGGTTCTGGATTGTTAAGGGTCGGATTATCGAGTCACCACTGTACTTCCATTGTAGCGAGTATACCAGCTCACAACAGCAGGAATCTCAGCCGTCACTGAATGAAATCTGTGTGATCTGATCCTGGTCACCTTTATAATTAACATTTCGCTGTTAAAAACGGCCACCCCACTGTTCCTGTTCAAAATATTTTAAAATTCCTCAACAAAAAAGTAAATTAAAAAAAAAAACAACCCCACAACATTTCAGATGAAAGCATCTGCATGTGCTACACAGACTTGACTGCACTGAAAATATCTCCTGGCCAAACAAGAGGACCAGAGATCAGCACCGACTGCGTAACCTGAGGATTCTGGCCTTGCTCCAGTGTAGTGGCGTGTTTTGAACTTGTGCTAGCCTCTGTACGTGCTGTTTTCACTGCTGCAGGCAGTCGCTATTGACCTGCATCCTTAAAGCCATCACCTTAACTAAAGAGAGATTAGAAGTCACTTCCTGAATGGTTCGGCTTTAAAGGTCATCACGAACACATGCTGAGGCTCCACTGGCTGATTACAGAGCGTGTCTGCTACGATCTGAGGCCTGTAAATAACCGCAATAACTTCCATTTCACTGCATAGTTCAGTTGAAAATATCTCCTCGTATTTAAGCTACAGTTGCTAACATGATATTATAATTGTGCTAAATGGCTGCAGCTATGAAACACCAACATTTCATCTCTGCCTTGTTGTCATCGCTGCTCAAACAAGCCAAACGCCACAAAAACAAAGCCTGCCCTCGCCGTGCCATAAATCACCGCTCTGACAGTTACGCATAAGCACCGCTGTACGTTTTTGTATAGGGTAAAACGTACGCGCATCACTCGAACGAACTCAACATGTAAAAGCAGAAGAGAGAGACGGTGCCAAGTCGCTCCAAGTACGGGAAAATCAACTTATTCCATTCATAAAAACGAGGCATAATAACACATGAAAACCAGCATCGCCACACCGACTACCACAACATCTGTCTTACTGCATGAAGCCCATCATTAATATGAAAGAGAGCCTTCAGAATATGCTCAGACGTTTGGGTTTAGTCAGTTTCACGTCGGTGGGCTGCTGTTATTACAACCGACCTAAGAGAAGAAGACGGGTTGAGTCAACAAGAGGAACTCTTTCTGCCTTACCACAACTTCATCGGTTTCCTCCAGTTCCATCTCTAGATCGGTTGAACAAACCAGTCCTCGCATGTTCCGCTGACCAGCTAAACCATCATCACGTGAACTCCAGTGAAGTTCCTCCAGCAGTAGAAGTCAGGTTCTCCTCTGCCACACAGGTCGGGCTGCACCAGAACCAGCAGAGGCTCCGTCTAAAGCCACAGTCATTCACTCCACTAGCGATCCGATTCTCTCCAGCTCTCTTGTTCTCACACAGACCATTGACATCAACAGGGAAGATAAACCGTCTGAGCAGCGGCGGCCAAATCCCTCTTAGCTTCTCACTCTGTGAGGTCAGAGCAGCCCAGAATGGGACCTAATCTCACTCCAGGGAGAAGAAGACTGCGTCTAAAATTAACTCAAGTTAAAAACATAACGCTGGCTGGCTGGCTGGCTATTGTGGCCTCCCCCCCTGGAAGGCAACTTGTGTGGTGGAAAAGAAGCTCTGACGCGACACCCCAACAACAGGAAGGTGGTTTAAAACCCAGCAAAGTCAATGAAAGCTATCAACAACAAACTACACTGAATAGTAAGCGGGTGGATTACTTTCTGAATGATCTCCAGTGGACAGAAGAGCTAGCTGTAGTCATGCTAATGCAAGGTGAGCAGGACTCCCAGAGAGAGAGAGAGAGAGAGGGGGAGAGAGAGAGAGAGGTTCTGTTCCAACAGTCAGAGTTTGGAAATGCCAGCGTTACTGGATTTACTAAGGAAAGCCCGTCTGTTACGTCACCGCAGAGCAGAGGGACACGGACACTGAGTCTTTTCCATTAACCACGCCACAGACCAGAATAACACCTGTAACCACGGTAACCGTACACAAAGATGGAGGCAGCTGTGGCGTCAAAAAACTCTGACGGAATGAAAACTTGGAAAAGCAAAAGTGAGAGTAAACGGTCACTGATAAAAACTAGACGAGTGTTTTTAAAATTTTTGTTGACTTAAACTAATAAAGAAATAACTAGAATCAGACTAAAACTAATACGCGTTTCCATCAAACGTCTAAATCAATATCAGGTGCCAAATATAACACTGGTAAAAAAAAAAATGGAGTTGAAGTGTCGGTGGAGAGCTCATTAGTCCAACAACAGTCCCCTATAATGAGCTATACTGTACTTCATTTATCCTAGTTTCAAGAAAATCCAACGTTTCCTACAATGTTTTATTCTGAAATTCATCTTAAACAAGGAGAACATCCACCTGTTCTCCAAAATAAGAGGCTATTCTTCACATTGGTCATTTATTTGACTTCTCCAACAGTTAGAAGTTTTTTTTTATACCACAACCGGAAACTTTACCCCTTTTGTCCCTTCAAAATAAGAGCGTCCCTCGTGTGTGAGACAGAACCAGCGTACGCCACAACATCTGTTATTATTGTGACTGTAAAACCTCCTGACACAAGCTGCACCAGGGTTCCGGTGAGGCAGCTACCTGGAGGAAACTCTGCAATCACATACTGCACTTCAGACTGACAGATTTATGTGGGGAAAATGCATCAAGTTTGGTCAGATAAGGGAATTCCACGGACTTGGCCCTCGTGAAGCAGCTTTCCTCTATAGGTGCTCGCTTCAGAGGAAACTATAGTTTGCACGTATCCTGGTCCAGAGGCTGCCTGATGACTCATAGGTAAAATGGAGGTCAGTGCTCGTGAGCTGGGGAGTGGGTGTCTCTTCTCCTACTCGCTGGCCTGCAAAGCTTGTTTGCACTGTAGCTGTGTTTGCCCTGCGCCGTGCGAGGACAGCATGAGGACACCCAAACAGGCCTATTTTACTGCGCAACAATGCAAGGAAATCCATGAAAGGCCAATCAGATAAGGTGGAAATTAATCAGCTCGGAGACCCGCGAGGTCTGCGTTTTAATTTGAGATCAAACAAAAGAAGCACGTCGAGAGAAAGACGCCGGGCTCCGTGGCGGGATCGGCTTCACCTCTCGTTTCTCTGTCACCGCAACACTTCCTCCAGTTACTCTTTTACCTGTACGGCTCTTATCACTTGTGAGCGTACTGCCGAGTCAGGGGGAAGACTTCCATACCAGGAAATCGAGACTTATTAGGTTCAAAGACGAGCGGAGCAGGAACTGTAAGCAAACGCTTCCATTGGTACAATGCATACAGCTGGTGATGGATGGAGGGAACTTGTTCTTGTCAGCGTGGCTCCGCTCGCCGCTCTGTGAAATGTTCAAGGCTCACAGCAAAAGAAAGGACTGCATGTGAAACGTCGTCATTTCGTTCGATATTACAAAAAAAATGCCAAAAGAGCCACTTAATCAATCAGACAATCAATTATATCACAGTCTACGTCGCTGCTGCACAAATATTTAATGTTAAACACAACTAATTGTGGCTTTTTTCTGCACTTATATTGCTGTATTTTTACTTATATTTTGCTCTTGTTCTATTATACTTATATTTATGAGGCTTTTTCTTTAAAAAAACGGGACCTGGGAACTAATTTTGTACGTGAATGTGAGCTGGCATGACAAAAAAAATTCCTTGAATCCTTGACTAAAATAATGAGTGAAGCTAAATCTGACCTGTAGGCACCCATTTAGGACTCAAATTAACAGCTGATAATAATCTTGCATGAGTAAAGCAACCAAATGTTGACACTGTTAGCGAGCTCTCTCGGTGCCTCCTCGCACATGAAAGGAAACTTGGAAGTAAAAGCAAACATTGGGTCTGAATCTCAAGTGTAAGCAGGTTAAGTTGCTCTTTAAGCTCCAAAAGCTCCAAGTCCAACAACAAGAGCCCCATTCAGACAATAGGACAATGGAAAAGTTGAGGCCACTATCCAGGCTCACGCGTAGAAAGCCAAGCCCTTGCCATTTCTGTGTGCGAGGCCTATCTCGGCCCACAACCCGACACCGGGCCTATCTTACCCCACAGCTGGCCGCGGCCCGGCGAGCCTCCGCTGAGGCCAGAAATAGCAGCACAGGCTAATAAACACGGATCCCGCGAGCGCAACCTTCACACAAGCCTCGTATCCCGTAGCAAAGCGTAGGTAACGTGCTGCACTGGGAGTTAAAGGTCAGTGGTGAGCTGCTCCAAACGGGACGAATCCACACAACTGACGCTGCAATGTCACAGGCAGCGCTCAGCAGCTCTGCAGCACCTGTTGCTCCGTTAATCTGGGTCCACTCAGAGCTTCAGGGAGCAGAGGTTCAGGTCTGGCTCACAAGATCTGTCCTAGAAAAACATCAACTACTTCTACCCGCACCACAGGTCTTCATGTGTCTTATTGTTGTATCACAAATAGCAACGAACACATAAAAACACACACATCTAATGCTGGCTGGTGTTTGTGTCGCCATCAATCAGAACAGTACAGATCCAGGGTCAGATTTCAGCTTGTTCTGAAGTGACGTTAGCCATCCAGTTAGCACACCAGTTAGCCATCCAGTTAGCACACCAGTTAGCCATCCAGTTAGCCATCCAGTCTGAATGGAGGAGTGTTAACCGCACACTCAGTTAACTAATGATATTAAGTCTTCAAACGAGATTAGTCGACAAACGCTGCATCAGATACTAATCCAACTAGCGTACATGTCTGACCCTATACAGATATATACAGAATAAATATGACTTCCTGCAGCTATACAGGGTTGAGTCATCATTTTGTGATCAACAGAGCCCAACCGCTAGCCACAGATGTACTGATATCAGCGTCTATTATGTCCAATATACGCTTTTACAGACGGTTTCATCACATAGTTTGTCCAGAGGAGCTCCAGCGTTTACAACACTAACAGAACCGTCTGCAGCGCATGTAGCAGAGCCAGCATCACAGCCGAGCAGACTTTGTGTTCGTGGCAGGCTGCTGGAAAACTAATCATCAATGACCCCATGATTGTCCCGTCACAGTATAACTCCAACATAAATATAAACTATATCATATCACAATTTATTACGCCCTAAAATACACATAAAACAGAAACCCAGCATCTGTCAGGCTCCAGTTATCGATTAACACAGAGTGAAACTGTTCTGCTATTCTACTGTAGTGTCAATAAAACAAGTTTTCTTGGTTTGCAGAAGGAAGGAGCTGTTGTTCATTTGGTGAGGTCGTCTTTACCAGATAAAGGACCAGAACATAAGTAAATGTTCACATTCAGAGTGAAGAACGGCCTTTTTAACTGGAGTCAAAGCATCTATTTAGAGTTTTTTATTTACATGTACATATTGTGATTGGTTTTATTTCTAATCATTTTTGCAATTTTTGTAATTGTCTTCTAAAAACACGGTAAAGGCATTACTGAACCCGCTTTTAGTGTGTTTTATCTTTAAGCCTTTTATTGGTATGTTTTGTTTGTGTATTGATTTATTTTATTTTAATGGATGTATTCCTTTTAGTCTATTTCCTGTTGTGTGCTGCCTCTTGGCCAGCTCGTTATTGTAAATGAGAATTTGTTCTCAATTAACCCACCTGGTTAAATAAAGGAAAAATAAATTTTAAAAATGTTATTCACCAGTCTGACGGCGAGTTTTTGCATCGAAATCTCAGCCATAAATGTGCACCAACTAATGTAAAGTCTATCTGAAAGTAAAGTGACTCTTCTATTCTATTCTATTCTGTATTATTCTGTTGTATTCTATTCTATTTTATCACAACATGACAACCGACCATCGACTCTCTTTCTCCTCAGTTTCGGTCGTCTGCAGCAGCAGCAGCAGCAGCAGCTTTGGGAATAGTACTGACAAAACTTCTAACACGAGTAATCAGACTACTCTTCACATGGAGGGGATTACTACATCAATACCTGGCTGCGCTTGAAGCACGATCAGATGCTGATCTGCGAGGATAGACACACACCAACTATATTTCTGTGTGAAGGATGTATTTCAGGCCTGAGTCACTGAAACCACATCAGTCACAGTGAATAATGAGACCTGGTGGAGGACTCTCACTTGGTCTTTTCTTAAATATTTATTCAATTTATTTATGTGTATATTTATGGAAAGTATATATATATCTTGAACACTTATTTTTACTTTTTTTTAAATTTCTCTATTTTTCTTTTTATTGAAACTGGATGCTGGTTAAAAATAATAATAAAGAATAATAATAAAAAAAATTCACTGCACATTGTATAAATGTGTGTGTGTGTGACAAATCAAGCTTATTTTGAATTTTGAATCTTGACATATTAAAAAAGAAAAAGAAAAAAAAGTGCTTTTGAATGTTTTAAAGTTTTTCAGGCTGCTGTTGGTGAAAAGTTCAACCAGTGTGTAGAATAACCCACCGAACCGCCTCCAGTCCACAGCCTTTATTTACTGATCTGTGAACACGGCGGACACCAGAACCTAAAGTTAGCTCACACACCTTAACTAGTATTTAACTACAGCAGCAATAACCAGTAAACTCTGACATTAGAGGTCGTAACTTGAACAAACGGCCCAGTTTCTGCACCGAACCGCCGGTTGGAAAGTTGAGGTCGGTCTGGATGGTCCCAGGCCTCGATCCGTGGATAACTCCCAGACAGCCCACTGGGATCCAGCACAGGCCCGGGGCTGTGAAACAACCCGCCCAGGCTCCACACAGAACCCACTTTCATCAAATCGGAACGTTTGCTAACTCCTAACCGCGGCCCAGGAGCAAGTTTGCGCACTTTTCGTAAAAGTTGTCAACTTTTCCTACCTGCACGGAATCGGCGGCCATCTTGGTTTTCGCCTTTGAATCAAATCCTACGGGGAGAGAGGAGGGCTGCTGCTGGAGGTGGCGGCGGCGGCGGCGGGGCTCCAAAAACAAGCCTCGGTTTGAGTTTCCCTCTCTGGCGACAAAAACACGGACTTATTCCCACCGAACCATCGGTCATCGCGGCTCCGCGGAGCGTCCCATGTCGACTTCACGGCGGCTTTGCGCGGTCACGCCGTCCTGGCGGAGTGGCGGAGGGCTGGCCTGGAGCTCATAAATAAAAACGCTGGAGCATAAATCTGTCCCAGTGCAGTTGGAGAAAGAGGCGGAGGTTCGGGGAGAAGCGTCCGCCCAGAGGAGCGGCACCGCTGCTGCTGCTGCCGCTGCTCCGGCCGGACAGCCGCACACACGTGACGCAAAAAGTGCACAAAGTTAAGAACCTGAAGTTTGGAAGTCCTCATCAGGTTAATTACTGTGACTGGCAAAGTCACAGGAGTAGACTGGAAACTGTAAAAGTAAAGTTTAATTATCTACTGGCTTTAAAGAACAAGTGAAGAGTTCATTTGCAAATAAATTCTTGTATATATGTGTCTTATTATCTTGTTTTATTTATTTGTTTGTTTGTTTGTTTATTTATTAATAATTATTTTAATTTTGATTTTTTGTTCTTTTCTTTCTGTAGTTATTTTACTTCATTTTTTTATTTTCCTATTTCTATTATTCTGCTCATTCCCACGGCGACACCAACAGCCGAAACCAAACTCCTTGTGTGTTGTGGACGTACTTGGCCGTTAAAGCTGGTTCTGGTTCTGATTCTGATTTGCAAAAACAGATCACTCCATGTTTGTAGATTTTCAGAAAACTTTTTTTGTTGTTGTTTGCTTGAGATAAAATCAGTCAAACTGAAGCTGAGTGGATGTGACCCAGTAGAAACGACAACAACAGAGAGAACTGAAGTTTGACTGATGTTGTCTCAGGTAGACGATGGAGAAGTTCTGAAGGTTTGTGAGGATGGAGGTATCTGTTTCTGCAAATGAACTCTTCATATTAAAATATTAAATAAAATAAATACCAAAAAAAGTCAATAAAACTGTGAGAATATTTAAAGAACTGTTCCAAATAGAACAAGGAAGCTCCTTCTCTTGTCCCCTTTGTGATTTCTTTAAAATAAATTGTCCATCTTTTAATTAGCATAGAAGTTAAATTTGTCAAAACACTTTTATCATTGTGAGCACGTGTCTGTGTTGTTTGTTTAACTCTGTATTAAAGTCATTTGCACATTTCTGTATCTCTCTTATATATTCTTGTAAATTTTGTTGACTTTCTTCTATATCGTATTTTCTATATTTTTAATCTTATTTTATTTTACCTTCATCTTATACCCTAATATTCTGTGTTGTCTTGTTGCTTTGTTCACCCCCTTTGTTGAACAGTCCTGCTGCTGTAACACCTGAGTTTCCCTTTTGGGATTAATAAAGTCAGGCTAAGTCTAAGTCTGCACGTTCATTGGTAAATAAAGTTCTGTTAAAGAAAAAGAAAAAAAAAAGAAATCATCCCAAAATTAACACAGAGAACATCTGAATAAAGGCTGATACATGTTTAGTTAGCTGCATTAAAGTCTCACACAATTAAAGCCTGTGTGTGGTGCTTTCATCAGTAAGTAAGTTAAATGTGACAATAAGTAAATAAACAAACAAACAAGCAACTCCTGCAATCATCATTTTCACTTCAATATTCAATTTAATTAACTTAATATCAAAGTTAGATGTATTTATACATGATGTACAATTTTAATGTTATTTTTTTGTTTGTTGCCAAGTTTGTCTTTACTCTTACAACAAATAAACAGGTATTAAAATAAACAGTAAACAAATCAAACAGGTATTTCCCTACGTGACAACAAGTGTTTTCAAAAATCAAAGGCCTTTATATATGATATACGATTTTAATTTTGTTAGTTTGTTTGCTGCCAAGTTTGTATTGATTTTTTTTCAAGACATATTACAACAAATAAATAAGTTTAAAGAAATAAATAAACAAAACCTAACAACTATTTCAAAAAAATGGGATAATGAGTTTTAAAAGAAACAGAAAAAACCGACGGCAAACCTCCTGCAATCATCATTTTTACTTCAAGTAAGCTGCTCAGATTTTAACCAAAAATATTTAAGAAAAAGCTCTCATTACTCAGAATGACCAGTTTCAATCATTTAAATATTATACATAATATTTAAATACAAAGCTTTTATTTATTTTTTTACATACAGTTTCATCTCCAGGGACAGCGGATAAATCTGAGTGGTCATCAGTTGTTTGATGGGAGAAGAAAGAAAAAAGTTCTGATACACAAACTGTCCATTTGGAACTTTTTCTCTGCTCTTTGACTTCTGGTGAGATATCAGATCTTATTTATATGGAACAATGTGAGAGGTTCAGACATTTGGTGGAGATTTTCACCGCTGACAGAAGTTAGGAAGCCACTGGTTCAATCTTTAACTACGTGTTGTATTTTAAAATCCTGTTTTATGATCTTAATCTTAAACAAAAGCCGTTAAATTAAAGCAGTTGAGTAGAAAGACCAAAATATCCCTCTGAAAGTTCATGTGAGTAACAAGTACTTCAATATAATAGCGTACTTTAGCGCAGTATTTGAGTAACTGTACTTAGTTACGTTCCACCATTGCAATCAAGAACTGCACTTGTGTCAAGTTTAAAGGTTTTGTGAGAGATAAGCTGTAAAACGACAAGTCACACTCAAAGCAGCAGGGTGTTCAGTCCCAAATGTGAGTCAAACTCTAAAAACAGTTGATCCTACATTTCCCATCTTGCAGACCACATCTCTTTACTGCTGAAGGCCCACATCTTTCCAACTCAGTGCTCCAAGTTCCTAATGAAGACTTTCTGAGGTTTCTGCAAGCCTAAGATCACCAGGGTTGCTCTCCTAAAGTTGATAAAGACATTTTACAGCTGTTTTTAGACTCATAGCCACGAACTTCTACTCACTTTAGTTACAGTTGTTCACTTTCTAACAATGCACCCCATTTTAAAAGCTGATCAATACATGTAGTGGAGTAAAAGTACCTCAAAACTGTACTTGTGTGTAGCTACTTGTGAGAAAACGTCCACACTGATCATCAATCTATCGGGGAGGATAAATCATAAGAACCGCTGTACAAACTGGCCGACAACCAGAGCTGCAGAGCAAACACGAGCCGGCGTTAGAAAGAAGACTCAGAGTTTACTTTTGAGTCGACAGGTCAGATCGATGAGGAGGAGCTGCGAGGAAGAAACTGCAGGCCAAACACTCGGCCCTTCTCCTCCGGGTCAGTGCATGACATGTCACACCTCAGCCAGAAGACTTACTGCAGCGTTACATAAGCTGCAGGGATGCAGGCCATACGTCTCACCGGCCGGCCTTTCTCCGCCTCTCAGATATTTATTGGTGGGGATGACGACGCCAGTTTCGTTGGCCTGAGCATTGTCCACACAATAAAAATGACAGAGGCCTTGTTGGGTAGACTTATGAATTGTGTGTTCCTGTTTAAATCTCTGCTCTTTCTTTGTGTCTCCACGGTGACGTTCTTCAGAGAACAGGTGCTCCAGACAGCAGCTGACTGTTTAGTCTTTCAGATGTGGATCGGTGGCCTGTTTGCAATATCTGCAGCGTTTACTGCCAAGGTTCAATGTAGAGCCGCAAGGTGTCTCGGTGGTTAATATCGTCGCCTCACAGCTAGAAGGTCGCCGGTTGGCGTCCCGGTGAGGACACCCAGGATCTTTCTGCGTGGAGTCTCCATGTTCTCCCCGTGCAGCGTGGGTTCTCTCCGGGTTCTCCGGCTTCCTCCCACAGTCCAGAAACATGCTGAGGTCAATTGGTGTGTAAATCGTCCGTAGGTGTGAATGTGAGTGTGCTTGGTTGTCTGTCTCTAAGTGTAGCCCTGTGATAGACTGGTTACCTGTCCAGGTGAACCTGCCTTCACCCTGAGTCAGCTGGGATAGACTCCAGCCCCCCCGGGACCCTAATGAGGATTAAGCGGTGTATAGATAATGGATGGATGGATGGATGGATGGAGATCCATCAGGTGACGTGTTATACACTTTGTCAGATCACCAGGCCTCCACGGTCACCCAATTGAGATGGTTTGAGATGAGTTGGATCGCAGAGTGAAGGAAAGAAAGCAATCAACAAGTGCTCGGCACCTCTGGGAAGTCCTTCAAGACTGTTGGAAAACCATCCAGGAGACGACCTCATGAAGCTTCATAAAGCTGTCGTCAGACTACTTTCAAGAATCTAAAATATAAAACATATTCTGGTTTGTTTCACACTTTTTTTGTTTACTACATAATTCCATATGTGTTCTTTCATAGTTTTGATGTCTTCAGTATTAATCTGCAATGTAGAAAATAATTAAAAGAAATTAAAACCACTGAATGAGAAGGTGTGTCCAAACTCTTAACCGATGCTGTAAATGCAGGCAGCGTGTTTCTTCCTCTGAAGAGGTGTGTTTACACTCCAAACGTCACCATGAGACATCCTGGGAGCGTCTGTATTTTACTGGATGAAAACTGAGTGGAATTTAGTTTAATTTACCAACAAAAAATTCCCAATTGAATTGTTTACAGGACACTATTTCTCCCCCCCGTAAACGAATTTTAAAAAGATTTCACTCATGTGGATGTAAGTTGTGCTGAGTGTTGGTGGTTGATGTCATCCAACATTCAGACACTACAGGTGAGAAGCAGCAGCAGCCTCACAGGTTTTAAAACTAAAACAGGAGCCACATATCACGTAAATGATCCTGTAAAGATTTAAAACCTACTCATCAAATGTTATTAGATGTTTAATTTCTCAGATTTTACTCTTATGGCCCAATTAAAAGCACACAGTCCTGAACTTTGTATTGTAAAGCGGCCTGTACTGAAGGCGGGGAGACGCCGTCCACGTTTATCTGGGTCACGGGGTCAGAACCAGGAAGCTGTAACTGGAGAACGATGTGAGATTACTGGGGATGAGTGTAATAGCTGATGCCTGTCCAGGGATTATCAGAGAGCAGCAACACTGGCTCGTATAAACTTTCGCTGGCCTCTGGCGAGTCCTCTCACATAACCACGCTGCTATTTTAGTGCCTCCGTTTGTGATGCTCAGCTGCAGGGGAGAAGATGCTGAAGGTGTATGTTCTGGAAGAAGAATTTATCTTTCTACAATCAGTTTAATAAATCTGTATGGTGTTAAGATGATAAACACTGTCAGGGGTTGGAGCAGCAGACCCGGCAGCTCTTTATCTCCCTCTGCAGGACACCAGACCTGAAATAAAACAGAGCAGCAGCTTCATCTGCCTCCGATCTCTGCTCTGCTGGACCTGCATGATGATGATGATGATGATGCACAAACGTTTGTACTAAACTGAGAGAAAAAAAAAAACTCACACATGCATTTTTTTTAAATCTTCTGTATATTGTTTTTCAGTCAAAAGATGAAAACAGACATCACAGCCATGTTTAGGTTCCATCGGACAAAGCTGCAACACAAGGAGAGCTGTAGAGAAGGCACACAACAAACCGGAAATACTGACTCTGTGCAGCTCGTTCAGGTGAAGCGGGGGTTTTTCTGCCTTCACAATGGTTCGCCTTCTGGGTGCGACGGAGACAAATTAGTAGACGGGAGCAACGTTTTGTCCTTTGCCTTGTTAGTGATTCGTCAAGTGGACACAGAAAGCTTTATGTGGTCAACAGGAGGCCGTCAGAACCAAAATAAACCCAAGAAAATGACCCCAGTTTCTCATCAGTCTGTGAAATGTGGCACTGCAGCTGGTTAGCTTAGCTTAGCATAAAAATATTTAAAACAAAATGTAGCACTAACGAATGAAAGTGTGGGATCCGTTCATTCGATTCACTTCAGACTTGGCAGGTGGACTACTGGGGACCCGAGGAAATGCTGTGACAGATTTGAGGCGGATCGGATAAACAGTGGCTGTTTTTTTGGGGTCCTTATTGGACCTTTAGCTGCCTGTATGTGGAGCAAAAAGTCCCCCCTGTTGCTGCCACGTGATGATTGTGATCTCACACGAGTTCAAACCTATGAGATCACACTGACACTGTAAGCATTTTACATTTACAAGAACAGGAGGTGAAAACAAGAAGTTTGGGATTTTACAGACGGATCAGGTGTCGTCTTGTTTTCAGGCTCTCTGCTCAGCCGAGCTAAACATCTCCCTGCCGGAGCTTCACATTTACAGACTGGAGCGAAAGTGGCATCGATCTTCCCAACAAACCGTCAGCAAGAGAGCAAATAAACATTCTCCCAAACATCTGACTGTTCCTTGTAAACGGCAGAGTGAAATATTAGCGGGCGCTCGAGTTCAGACGGATCTGAAGTAGAAAGACGAGAAATAAAAGAGCTGAAAGAAATGTATAAACCGCTAAGATGTCCAGACTAACAGCTATCTAGTCTGCCTGGAAATGAAATGGATTGAAAAAAGTAGTAAATATTTACAGAAGCAGCATCTTCACCTTCTTCAATAATATATCACGTGTAAAAGCTTCCCTCAAAAAGCCTCCAGGCAAAGCTGTACATCTACAAGAGTCACAAGTACAGTAGAAAACATGTGCACCTGCCCCAGTCAACAGTCCATATTCACAGGAGTTTTATTTCATAAAAACCTCAAATATTCTCATTCGAGTCCAATAATACAGCAAAGTAGCTGGGTTCTTACAGTTAAAGTCTCTTTAAGTTAGTAGTGGTGGCGGTGAGGCATGAGGATGTCGTTTCACCGTGAAAAATGTCTTTACATACAAACGACGACCAGAGTAAAGAGATAAAACACAACCAAACACAACCAAACAGTACGGAGCCAAAGAAAACGCTTTGTTTGGACAGGAGACCGGTGAAGCCGAGTCCAGGTCCGACCGACCGTTGGCGGGGTCGTCTTCGGACACGAGCCGGCGGGAGCTGTCGGCCTGGTTGACCTTTGGCGTGGAAGTGAAAGGGAGCGGAGGAGCGGAGGAGCTGCTGGGAGCGCAGCCGGCCGTCCAGCTCCCCGTCCAGCTGGCCGCCGCCGACATGAATAACAACTGTCACCGGTCCGACTGCTGCGTCCGAGCCGGACAGTTTCGCATTATGTTCTCAGTACAAACGAGGCACACGGTCAGCAGTAGGTCACTCCTGCTTCCCTTCTCTTCCGTCTCAGACTGCACAACTGAGCGTGTGCAAAGCGTTCCGTCCGTCTCCAAAACTCTTCTGCAGACGCGACGGTCCCGTTAGTTTTTGGGGTAGATTTTTTCGTAGAAGAAGTTCTGTGCCAGCAGGTAGAGTTCGCCGTCCTTTTCCCTGACAGCGTGCGCCCTGACGAACTGGAACTGCTCCAGTGCAAACTCATAGAACTCGTTCTCCATCTTCCAGATGGCCGACTGCTGCAGCTTGGCGATGGACTCCTTAGTGGGCGGCTTCTTCTCGCTGGTCTTCCTTAGGTGGGATTTCTTGCCTGTAGTGAAAGAAGAGGATGAAAGCATTAGACTCAGTGTTTCAGTATGTATATATAAATGTGGCCTTGTGTGTCTAATGCTAATGTAGGCGCCATTTATATTCTATGCAGCAGGAGTGTTTTTATTTTTTCATTTTTTTAGGAAAAACCAACAGAACCCATAAAAACAGCCTTAACATAGCGACAGCCTTGGATTCTGACTCCGACATGACATTTGATGTCACCAATCAGGATAATGGCGTATTATCTGACTGAACAATCCCAAAGATTGGCTACGTTCACACTGCAGGACTTGATGCTCAATGAGGATTTCTTTGTGAGTTCCTTCACATTTCCAGTTAAATGCGACTTGTATGTGATCTGCTGTGTGAACTTCATACGACCCAAAAGTGTCCCGCATGCGCAGAAGAGGACACGACGACATCACACGCAGCGAGCCTGCTCAGTGTTTACGGAAGTAAACGTGGATGGTAACGGTGGAGCGTATCTGCCACTCCCCCGCCGCCACCGATGGTGGAAACAGAAGTGTGAGCGCTAACTAAACTAGCATCAACAGCCAAGTACTGCCTGTGTGTTCTGGACACTTCCACCCCGTCAGAGCGCTGCCCCGAGGTGGAAGTGTCCCACGACCACACCGAATATTCTGATCCATTATCTATACACCGCTTAATCCTCACGAGGGTTGCGGGGGGGCTGGAGCCTATCCCAGCCGACTTAGGGCGAAGGCAGGGGACACCCTGGACAGGTCGCCAGTCCATTGCAGTATTATTCTGATATTCATCATTAATTGGATCTGTGTTGTTCAGACTGTCATGAAAAGACCAGATACAGGTCACATAGGAGCACAATCGCACCGGTCAGTTAGGCTGAAATCCAGCGATGCGTAGTGTTCTAACAACACACTAGTTATTATAACAACTATGAACAATAATTAACAACTAATGAGCCTTCCAGCATCAAGCCCTCCTTGTATCTGGACCTCCGTCTTGACAATCCGACAGCCTTGCTATCCGACATAAAAGAAGGTTTTACATTTAGTGTCGGATTAACGAGTCACGACTGTAATTTCCAGTTTATGTTTGGTAAAATTTGATCTTATCTGTTTCTTAGCTCTGCAATAAACAGTGAATTTGATGTGTTTGCGCTACGCTGCTACACCACAAACTGCAGCTAGTGAGCGATGTAATTAACAGCTTCAGTAACTGCAGAGGTGCTCCCTACATGCATAGTTCACTGTATAGTGGTGCCTGGATTGTGAGTAGGGAGTGAGCGGATGATTTGGGACACAGCCACTGTAATTGCAGATCTATTAGTAAGGGGATGCAGCCCTTAGCAGGAGCAGCTATAGTGAGGTAGTAATGGGGGGCTGCAATGTCGCCGATCATCCTTTGTTGGGAGGGCAGAGTAGTGGCTATGCCAGCATTATGGAAATGTGTTAAACAGTGACATTAGTAAGGAACGCAAGAAAAGCCTGGACCTCCACCAAGTCGCTTTAGGCAGGTAAGGAGCTGTGTGGGAGAGAAAAGCTCCTTTTGGCGTCGACTTTGGCATAATACGGGCTACGGCTACAGAATCAGCAAGTCAGATTTTTAAGAATTACAGATTAATTAACACCCAGCTAAACAGACTTTATTGTTCAGTTAGGTGAAAAGAATCTATCCCAAACTCACACCAACCTGGTAAATAAAAAGCTCCAGCCACACGATGGTTTGCCTAGCTTAGCACAAACACTGGCTTTAACAGGTACCAACAAAACCCACCTACCGACAGCTCCCAGGTCGGTTCAGTTACATCACGTTTGTTTACTCTGTGCAAAAAACAAAGTCTAAAAATGACAAGTCGTTTTACAGGACAGCCTTTGCCAGACTCTCGGCTGGGTGTAGGAACCACTCGGAGTCTCATCGTCGCCAAAAGAAAACAGGCAAACAGATGGCGCTACGCATAATTGGTCTACCAGTGATTCTTCAGCTGAGATCGCAGGCCGGAAAAACCCACTTCCTCACCCCAACGAAACAAAGATCAGAATACAAAGACATGCTTGAATGTATTTTTTTATAATTTATCAAATAAACACCTGATTAACTTGAGTGCTAAAACTGACAAGCATCGTGTCGACTCATAACGTCGTCAGGTTTATTCCCCTCATTAATCACTCTGGCTGCAGTCGCTGCAACTAATCTGTAAGCACACGAGAGGCCCGAGTGCGTATTGATCACCGTTCGGTTCTCTGAGGAGCCGTTCAAACCGCTAATATGCAACCACAGCACACACACTGTTTTCTCTTTAGCGTTGCAGCGTGTGTGTGAGCCATTAAACGGTTTATTATAATCTCGGCGGGAGAAGCTGCAGCATGCGGGGAGACGCCGGAGCGTTTCCAAGCGTTCGGCAGGAACTGCACCTGTTTTGTACAGCTCAGTGGCTCCTTTGAAGAATCGCGGCAGCGCGGCCTCCAGCATCATGACGAAGTCTTCCAGCTCCTCTGTTACTCCGACCAGCATGTACTCGTTCACCAGGTTGTACTTGGCCTGCTCCAGAGCCCACTGGCTGCCCACGTTCCTGCACAGAGATCACGGGTTTACTCTTTTTAAAACACTTTTCACTTTATTCTGCCTTAGCTGTGGTGCTGGATGGAGAATGCTCACGATGCACAAAATGGAGGAAAAGAAGGGTGTTAGATCTGACATGGAGGAGAAGAGCTGGAAGGTACAAAGACAGAGACGGGATGAACGATTAGGGGAGACGGGAGAGGACGGAGAGGACGAGACAGGAAGGGACGAGACAGAAACAACGTGGAGGTGTTGTCATGCTTTAGGAAACTGACTAATAAAGGAGGAAGCAGATTGTTTAAACCCATAAAGTAAGTTTCTGGCAAGGCCTTGTTCAACAGAGCGACGCCGGACTGACGGCAGCTTCACCGTTTTGTCTTCAGTATTTATTTAATGCTTCCGAGGGGGCTTTCCATTACTTTAATATAGCGCTGGTGCGCTACGGCGAGCTAAATCCTAGACCTTCAGTCGGTAAACCGCTCGAGGAGGGTCGGTGGTTAAAAGATGGAAGGAGGAAGTGGAGGAGAGATTAAGGAGGTTGAGAGGGATGAGTGAGGGCAGAGAGAGATTGATAAAGATCACGATGCAGAGAGAACGGATCAAGGCTGAGAGAGCGATCAGAGGAGAAGAGGACGATGAAGCTTAATGTAGGAACAGAACTGATGCAGCCTCCTGAGCTGTTTGAACCGCCTGAGCAAAGGAAACAATAAGGCTGTTGGTTTTTGTTTTCACCGACAAATCCAGCAAAAACAAATAAACAGCAGCGAGTTAGTCCGTCTCCAAACAATTTTTCTAAACCAACTATTGCACTAAAACCCAGAGCGAGCTCATTCATAATCAACATGTTTGCCTTAAAACATGCCACAGAAATCAAACTTCAGTCTGAAGCTGCTGGGCTCTGTGGTTCTTGGCAAATATTGCTGAAACATTCATTGGAGGTTTGTACATTTAGTGCACTACTGAGAAGTAGATGCACCAGAAAGGTGTATGCAAAATGTCACTAAGTGCAACAGTTTGGTTTATTGATCTGCTTTAGCTTTTTGGACAAAAACAGAACTCAATAGAATACGCTACAGTACATCAGGCCTTGGCTGCACAATCTAAGCTGTCAGCAGGATCAATTCACCGTCGCCTCAGTCGGAATATCACCACACTTCTTCTGTAAACACTCTAAAAAGGAGGAAAGAAAGACGGACATATGCCGTACACGCAGATATTTGTGAGACATATGGGGGATAATTTCAAACCCAGCGTGGTGTGAACGTGGTGCAGCGGCAGGTGTCTGAAGAACTTACCAACATTCAGAGTAGTGACCGCAGAAAAAGGGAATCTGGAGCCACAGCTTCTCCGGCGCGCAGTCGGAGCCGCCAGCTGACACACATTCATCGAATGTCTGAAACGCACAAACACGGCGGTCACCAAGGAAGCAGATCAGGGGTTTAAGTCTGTCTCGATACGTTCCCTGTTTGAAGAGTGGAACTTATCAGACAAGACGGGAATGAGATCCAGAGTTCCCATTCTGTGCAAAAATGTTGGAAAAAAAACTTGATCTGAAACTACAGTGAGGCTTCAGAAGTCTGAGTTAGTCCAATAACGTTGGATCTCTTCCTAAATTTACTGGGAAATGTCCTCTTTGTGTTGTTGTTGCTCAACTTTAGCTGATCAGCACCGTTTAACAAACACAAAGAGCGAGTTTGGTTGTAAAAATGCAGCATCTTGGTGTTGATTTGACTCTTTAAACCTCAGATTAACTTACAGTGTTGGATCGATTTTTGCACAGAACAAGGACTGTAGATTCATTCTGTTCTTTAAAAGCGAGTTAAGAGCATTTAAAAGCCAGCATGAACAGAAACATTAGCATTTCAATTACAGTCTGAATGTTCACATAGTTGAAAACCCTGAAGCTAACTTTTAAAGTTTGACCTAAAACACAGTTCATAGACTCACACAACAGTATTCCTTCTTAACCATCACTCGAGTCCCGGTGGAAGCGTGTGGCGGTGTGTTAATCTGCAGAAATCCTTCCGCTCTGCCTGTTTTTTCCTCAGCAATTTTGCTGTTTCCAGGACATTTCTTTTCACAGGTGAGGTTGGGATTGTGTAAAAAGGCAGCATCCAGCACAGTATAAAAAAATAAATGAACAAATGCAAATATAAGATGCGAAACCCCAAGCAGGCGAAGCTGGTTCCAAAACAAGAGTGAATCTGGGTTTTGGAGAGGAAGAGCAACAGGAAGCCAACCTGTTTAAAGTATGATCCATTTAAACGACTCGCAGGTAGAAAGGTGTATACGTGCACACCTGGTCCTACTGTCAACCAATAAAAACAACTTCCATCCATCATCTCTACACCTTAACCCTCACTAGGGTCATGGGGGGCTGGAGTCTATCCCAGCTGACTCAGGGTGAAGGCAGGTTCACCTGGACAGGTAACCAGTCTATCACAGGGCTACACTTAGAGACAGACAACCAAGCACACTCACATTCACACCTACAGACAATCTACAATCACCAATTAACCTCAACATGTTTCCTGACTGTGGGAGGAAGCCGGAGAACCCGGAGAGAACCCACGCTGCATGGGGAGAACATGGAGACTCCACGCAGAAAGATCCCGGGTGTCCTCACTGGGATGCCAACCGACGACATTCTAGCTGTGAGGCGGCGGTGCTAACCACCAAGACACCTGCAGCCCAGTCCTAGAGGTACTTTTGTAAATTCATATATGTGTAACTACAAGTGTTTGCGCACACACACACTCTCAGGCTGAAGATTTCTACCTGCACTCTCTTGCTGGCAAAGTTAAGGCCTGCAAGCCTCTGAGTTACTCGCTATAATCGGCTTGTATTCAGGTACGCTGGTCTGGAGTCGCTGCCGGGTGCTACACTGGCTTGTGTGGCGTCGAGCCTCAGGGGAGGGGGCAGAGTTTGGTGTTAAATAAAAGCACCTATTCCTACGTAGCACACATTTAAACAAACAAATGAGATTATCTGTGGGTTTTTTTTTTATTTTTACCTTCTTGTCTCCCTGTTTCCTGCGTCTCAAGCCGGGCCTGTAGTCGTCCCCGAAACGCAGGAAGTAATAATAGGAGACCAGCCTCTCAATGGGGTCCCTGATCACATTAATGTAGATGGGCTTCCTCTTCACGCCAAACCTGAGGAGAGTTACTGGAGTCAGAGAACCGGGCAGGAATCGAATCAAACGATTTGAAACTGAATTTAAAGCGAGACAAGTAAAACAGATTTAAAGTTCAATAATTCACTTTCTGTGCAGTTTTACTTTCATGACAACACAACCTGGAAAGTCAGGAACTTTAAATGGCCACAAGGGGGAGTCAAGTGATCAACGCCACAGCAGGCTGAGTTAACTCGTCTTTACAGAGCTGCCATCTTATGTGAAATGTGTATGTCTTTACTTGGTGAAGTCCAGGAAGGAGACGTGTCCGTGGTAGAAAGCCGGCTTCATTTCCCTCCATTCAGTGACATTCTTTACGAACCGCACCTGAACAAACCGAAGTGATGCTCTGCTTAGTACCCACAGGAACATTAAGCAAAATAAGAAGTGCAGCATGACCGCCGCTCTGACCTGGTCCTGTAGGGACATGACCGGGTTGTTCTTGGTGGTGTTGATGTGCAGCACGTGGTAGTGGTTCTTCCCACACAGGTCGTAGGCGATGTTGGTGAAGGAGGTGCTGGCCGTCTTGGGCACGCGGTTGTAGATGATGACCACGTCGTCTTCGCCGTCGGACACTGCTGCCGCCGCCGCTGAGTCCCGGTCCCTCAGGCCGTCCTGCGTGTGCCGCTGCTCGATCTCTCGTACCTCATGTCTGGCGATGGCTCGTTCTGGACGGAGATTAGAAAGAGGTCGAACAGGTGATTCGGTGTTTATTTAAATAAAAAATAAAGTCAGCAGCTGTGTGGGAAAATGAGCAGAAGACGTCCTTCAGTGAGTTACTGATTAGACCAGCAGAGCAGCACCAGGTGTGGCTGCTGTCGAGGTGAACCCAAACTTTGACCTCCACAGGCAGCAGAGAAACTGAAAAGGTCAAGATTATTAAAGTGCTGCAGACAGAAAAAATACAAGATCGTTTCTGCATCTCTGCAGCTTTGTTTTTTTTTTTTTACTTGTAGATGTCGAACATGTCTCATAACGACGATCAAACACTCAGCTTCATCGCTGTACTCGACGTAAACGCCACGAAGTTCAACCTAAATTTAACTGCGATCCATTTCCACCTTAAAACGCCGCCGTCCCTCCCGTCCTCGTCTCCATACCAGACTAAACTGTAACTTCATTAAAAATGGATTTTCATTTCATTTGAACACAGCCTCTGTCAGAGTGCAGATAGCTAAAACTCTTTTCCCGCTTCACACCAAGGATCAAGAATAATGTCAAACAGGAATATTAGTTAATCATTTTGTGAGCAGCCTATTTCACGCTGCCGGTACCACTTCTCTTGTTCACTAATCAGATTCAATTTTTAATATCCGTCCCCTACCTTTACTTTCAGTCTCCTTATTCAACCGTGTTCCTGTTTTAGATCAAATAAATATACTTTCATATGGCCCAGGATGACTTTGTGTGCTGCAGACGGATTCGAGATGGTGTGAAATGATTCATCCGGCTCAGTTCCTGCTTCCTCTGAGAAAAGTATCGCATAAGGGGAGTGGAAAAGGTGGAGAGCAGGAGGTGAAGGGTCGGCAGCTAGACGGTGAAGCTACAGTTATTTGACGGCTAACTGGATGTTTACAGGACATCGATGTACTTTAAATGAGGAGGGTGGAGGTTTGAAGGGGGGCCAGCACCACCTAAACACTGCATGAAGCAGCAGAAAAGCCAGACCTCGGTGCCTCAGCGTGAATGGACTCGACACAAAGAAGGCCCGGCCTTTGTCGCCCCCGAGCTTTTCTCTATCTGAATTCGCCTCAGATTGACAGGTGTTGACAAAGCCTCAGAGTGCTCCGCAGGAAGGATGGAGGGAGAAGAGGGGCGAGGAGGGGAGGCAGCACAGCGCTGGAGCACCTAATACCCGTGGGAGCTCTCCGCAGAGCCACTGGGCTCCTGAAAACGCTGCCTAAAGCCGTGCCTGGCAACTGAGACACAGTTACAGCCTGGACCTGCCTGGCCAGGCTTTACAGGCTGGCATCTGGCACCAAAGGCCAATTAAGATGTCATCTGTGCTTCCTCCGCCCTCTCCTTCATCTGTGTGAATGCGAACACACACACTCGCTCTCTGTCTCGCTGCCCCTTCGCTTACACCCTCCTGAGCAGCTGTTAATGTTCCGCTCATCAAAGCTGGATCTGGTTACGGACGGAGCCGAGCCACTTCCTCACGCCGCCGGCCGATGGCGTGGAGACGTGCCAGGTGGCCGCGATGGCTGAAGGCTGTCGGCGCGCACAACAACTGTAACGGAGACGTTCACTCACGAGTGCGTCCGAGGCACGCAGCGGCCAATGACAACAGCAATAACAGTTGCTATGTTGGAGCTCTACCGCCTGGGCTCAAGTGTCCTTTTAGGAATATTTTTTATGAGCGAGTACAGTGAAGTGGCAGGCGGAGAAAGACGGCGGCGAAAAATAGAGCCGCGGTCCGACCCGTGACAATGCAAGTCATAAATATTACGTGCCTTTGGTCGGACATACAGTACCAGGTGTCTTTATGGTTTTATAGACCTTGAAAACACATTTCCTGGGTGTGAGCGATGGGGTCCGACATGAAGACACTGTTTTCTACCAAAGTGAGGCAGCTCATGTCCATGTATGAGGTCTATCAGCTTAATCTGTGCTGTTGCTCTGGTTTCATTTGGAAAAAGGTCATGAGGTGAACAATAAAGCTGCTCTAGACGGTATTTCTTGATACCAATGGGTCCAGTAGCTACAGAATGTCACAAAAGGGAGTGGAAAATGGAAAATAATGGTGGCCACACAAAATACTGACACTTTGGGCCCAATTTGGACATTTTCACTTATTGGTGTACTCGCTTCTGTTTTGTTTACACAGTAATGGCTGTGTGTTGAGCTATTCTGAGGGGACAGTAGATGTACACTGACATACCAGCAGACTACTTTACATTGGAGCAAAGTGTCATTTCTTCAGTGTGTCCCACGAAAAGATGTAATGAAATATTTGCAGAAATGTGACATAATGTAAGGATAATATGAAAAGGGTCACTCTTATAGTGAAAAACTAAAAAAATGTTTATGTATGGAGCTTTTTAGCAACTCTAAGTGTATTCTTTTGGTTGTAAAACCCGTAACTTTGTAATTTTCAGCTGTTTTCCAACACTTAGTGTCGTTAGTGTCGAGCTGGTGAACATGGATCGGAGCATTTAACAGCGAAAGCAGGAGACTGGACTGGACTGCATTCCTCAGGTGGCCAAAAACACAGATCACATGAACGCTGATATGGATTCTTATCTGTTTTATGTGTAAATAGGCCAGACTATTTGATGCCAGGTTGCCATAGCAGCTTGTAACAGTGATGTGAAGCTTGCTGCTGTGCAAACGCAGAAGTGCTGCAGTTGCTCGAATGGCCACTAGGGGCTGCCTCCAAACACAAAAAAAGCAAATAAAAAGCTTAACTTCACAGCAGAAGTAAACACGTTTACATACTGGTGCAAAAGACAGTTCTGCTCTGTACAGCTAAGTTATCTACTCAAGACAACTGTATGAGAGGTGAATTTTTATAAAACTCCTCCATTCAGATTGCACTGAGGTCGTAAATTTTTACATAATTAACCACTGCGAGTAACAGATGGGTGTCGTGATTGGACAGTAGGCCCAGAAACCTTTGCCACAGCTCCACTCATGCTCCACCTCTTTGCTCATTTTCGGATTAGCCGGGAGTTAGGAGGAGTCACGCGCTGCCAAGACGCTGACAGCCGGAGCTACCACGTTCAGAAAACGAGTGATGTTGTGGAGGGTTTGTCGGTAATTATGTGTGTGAGACGCAAACACCTTAAAGCTCCATCATTTAACATGTGTGTTGTCTTTTAGATCATGGTGAGCATTTAACATGGCAGTGAACTGAACACTTGAAGCCCAGCAGTTGTGTATTTTCTACTATTTCACCATTTTTTGCCGAGGACATGAGACTCCAGCCACCATCCCAGTACAGAGGAGCAGAATGCAATTTGTTTTCAGCGCTAACAGCTTTGACAAATAACATTTGAAATATTCAACAGCAGCTCCTTCCAGCGGCCCTGTTTCTGTGCTGACAGACATCTCAGCCGACAGTTTTTCTCTCCGCTACTTTCCGTCGGAAAAAAAACAGTCCCAGTGCAAACTGTTGACAGCGAGGTCTGTGGATTATCCAGAGTCAGGAGGATGCTGTGTCTGAACAGAGACGCTGCTGCTGCTGTATTTAAACTGCACTGGTTGAAGAACTGTGTGCACCACAAACAAATTTTCCCATTCAAAGTAAAAAACCAAATTAACCTACATGGCAAGATGCTATTAGAGGAAAGAGAGAAAATGTGTTTACAGCTGTGCTCGTCTTGAACTGCTGACACCTTCAGGGCCAAGCAGCAGAATGTAGAAGCTCTGGCGTGAGCTTGCTTTTACTTTGCTGTGGAATAAATGGAGGATTGTGTGCAGCTCCAGCCTTCACTCTCTCAATTAAAATGAAAATAAAATAAAATGTAGGGGAGTGAGAAAGCGCCGGGGGCTGCCGTGTCCCTCACTACAACGTCCTGAGCTATGTGAAGGGGCCCTGAAACCACTTGTTCAAGACATGGTGCTTTGTGCCAAATTTCCAACAAGCAACAAGGAGGCGAAGCGGGCACGACGAGGGCTTCTTAGGCTTTGTAGTAGACGCCCTATTCATTGCGAGACTGAACACACTTGGCACGAACCTCCATATCAGAGGGCGCCACACACACACTCACAAACTTAAGCCCAGCGCTCCCTTCTGAGGTCATTTAATTAGAGAACAAAGGCCTGAATTACTATGGCCACACAGCAGGCCTCCTTTCACTCCACATTTCCGTCAGTTTCCTCCCCTCGAGCCGTCTCTGTGCATTAAAAGCTAATTATGAACCGTGAAGCCAACACAGGTCTTAAACATTGTGACAACTACAAGCCTATTACTCCACGTTTCATTCAGAGCGAGAGACGGGGAGGAAGACGGAGTGCTGGTAGTTGGAGCTATTTACCGAAGCAATTTAACGCTGATTAGACGCAAGTATTTGAAATCATCATTCATATTCGCCGGCAGATCTGCGAAATGTGACAGGCCGTCATGTATTATTGCCGTCACGTCAGATCTGATGGGATAATAAAAGTGGGGGAGAGGAGATGATCCTCTCTCCAAGCAGCTCATAAATCCATCATCGCTCCGATCCGCCGGTCGGAGCCCTCTCCCTCTCCTGTGCTTCCCCTGAGAGGGTGAGCCCCTCGAACCGAAGCCTTGAGCTAGGTGGGTAATAGAGATTGGCTATCAGCGGCAGACTGAGGTGTATGGCTTGTAGGGTTCTGCTTGGATGCCGCTGGATTGCAAAATCAATGAAGGATGACAGGGAGGAGATCTAGGCTGCTGCTGTATAAAAATCGAGTTAGTCTGCTGGTGCTGGTGCTGCTGGTGGTGGTGCTGGTGCCGTCTCTCCCCGTCCCCTCCACACAGACTTGGACGCTGTTTTGCAGAGCCAGGTTTCCAGGGGGACAGTTATGTCACCGCTGCAGCACTCACCAACGTTTGGATAAACTGTGCACTTCCGAATTTCTAATTATTCTAATTCAGCCTTTGGATCCATTTAGCAGAGAGAGGGAGAGGATTATCAGAGGAAGCAGGGAGAAAGTCGGGCTGAACAAGGAGATCCAGGCGCCGACTGAACACAGCAGAACC